GAGATCTCATTTCTACAGGTTCTCTTGGCCCACAGTGTGCCAGGCCGGCCTTGAATTTTGATCCTCCTGCCTCAGCCTCCCAAGTAGCAGGGATTACAGGCATGAACCACCGAAGTGCTCAAAATGGCTTTTTGTTTAATAAAGTAAAATTACAATTGGTTCTCTGTATCCACAGGTTCTGCATCCCTGGAGTCAACCAATTGCAGACAGGAAATATTTTGGGAGGAAATTGTGTCTGTCCTGGACATACACAAACTTTCTTATTCCTCAAACAATAAAACCTAACAGCTATTCACCTAGCATAAGTGATCTAGAGATGATTTAAAGTATACGGGAGGCTTCTCGGCTACATGTAAATACCACATCTTAGGGACAACAGAGGATTTTGGTGTCCACGAGGATCCTGAAACCAGGCCCTCTGGGTCCCCATGGAAATTGCCGCCCACAAAGCCAGCTGTGAAAGTTATGGCAGGAGGCTGTGTCCCTTGGACCTGGGCAGTGTGGACACAGCCCGGGAGGAGCAGCCGCCAGTCCTTGGCCCCGTGTCGACTGCAGGGTCAGATGAAGGAGAAAGTCACCTTCTCTACCAACATTAGGGGAACAAAAGTCTGTGCGTCCTTGGACTGTCCTACCACCACCTGCCCTGCAGTCACTGCCCCCTCTGCAGTGAGCGCAGTGCCACCGCCAGGAGCAGAGTGGGCTCTGGGCAGGTGCTGGGCCAGGCGAGGTGACCAGAGAAACTGAGGCCGGAGTGTAGGCCTAGGCCAAAGGCAGGAAGGAGAAGCCAATGCCAGGTGGGCGTCCCCGATCGCTTGCTTACCTGGTTGGTTGCAGGTCAGACAGGGTCTGGGGACCTTGCCAGTCCAAATCCAGGGAGGCGCAGCCTGGTTGGTGCCTCAGCCCAGGGAGGCGGAGCGACCACTGACCATCCTTCAAGACCAGGGTCCATGGGAGGGCTATTCCCCAGAGCAACCCCGCGGCCCTGGCTCCCCAGAAGGCCGATCCAACAGACCAGAGGCACTTGGAAGGGCAGATTTGGGCCTGAACTAGGTCTGGGCTGGAAAGGAGCCCTGTGGCCTTGGGGTCCCACGGGGTGTCAACAGTGGTGGGTGGAAGAACCCCTGCAGGGGCCCTGGTGTCCCAGGAGGGCTGCTGTGACTAGCGTGGCAACCAGTAAGCCAGGGCACGCTGCTCTCTCTGGTGCCCGGCAGGCCTAGTCCTGCCTCAGCAGTCTGACCGTGCCCTGCACCCTAGAGCTGGGGGACGGCAGCATCAGTGCTCAGGGGACTGGTGGGTGGGAATGGGAGCAGCCTCAGGAACCTGTGTCCACCTGAAGCTCTGTCGGGCTCCGCGAGTGAGCTGGGGACCACCTTCCACTCTCAGCCTCACTGTGTCTGTAAGATGGGAGAGCTCAGGGCCATGGAGGCCGGGCCAGGCCGGGTCCCCAAGCCCCAGCCGGTTCCTCCCTTCACACACAGGCTGCCTGGCGTGTCTGCAGGTCACCATGCTGTCTGATCTCAGTCCACACTCTCGCCTGGGCCCAGCCTGACCCCTCCTTACTGAGTGCCTGCTCGGAGCTGGGCAGTGCCAGGCCCTGGGGGAGCACAGTGGATGAGGCACCTGCTCCTAGGTGCACACGGAGGGGCAGCAGGGAGCCTGCAGCCCCGGTCAGGAGCAGTCAGGAGCGGCAGGCTGGACGGGGAGGTCTGGTGTGCTGAGGGCCTGGCACCGCACATGGCCTGGCTGCGGGGTCCTTGCCAGGGCGGATCAGAACGTGGGCTTTGCAGCTCAGGCCCTGGCTAGGCCGTGTTGGCCACGTGCCGAGCATGGCATTCCCTCTTGGAGTGGCCCCGCTGTGGCCTTGGTACCAGGTGTCATGCGCCCCTGGCCCGCCATTCACAGAGCCCTGGGCCTTGTTTCCTTGAGGCTTCGTCAGATGCCTGGGGATTTACCTTCAGCTTGAAGGCACCACACGGTGACAATAGCAACAGGGCGAGCGGAGGGCTCCTCCGAGACAGGCTTCCCAGGGCCTAGTCTTCCTCCACCGGGATAACATCATTGTGTCATGCACAGTTTTCTCCCTGCCGTTTTCACTTCATTATGCCGAAATCACTCCCTGTTATTACAGAGCATTCCTCACCACCATTCCAACAGCGATGGAAATCTACCCGTGGGTGTGTGATTGTGCCCGTGCTGGCTCACCGACAGCATGTAGACTGTGTTCACTGCTTAGAATTAAAACCAAAGCGAACCGCTTTTTTCTGGAGCTTTTTGCTTTTACATTATCTTCTTGGAATAATTCTCCACGGATTTTATCAGGGTGAAAGGACATAAGAACGTAAGGCTCTTGACACATCAAGCCAGCTCTCGACACAGATGAAAGGGGTGGCGACCCTACACCCTGCCCCAGTAGTGTTTACAGGGTGCTGCTAAGTGTTTTCAGTATTTACTCCTCAAATGTTGCTATAGCTTGGACCCTAACGGCTCCCCCGAAGCTCAGGTGCTAAGGCTTGGTCCCCTCCATGCTAAGGCACGGACTGTGGGAGGTTTTAGGCGGAGGGTGCAGTGAGTGTTCGGGTCACTGGGGTGGACCTTGGAAGGGCACTGCAGGGCCCCAGCCCCTTCCTCTCCCTCACTTAGCAGCAGTGAGGTGAGTGGTTTGGGGGTTTTTTTGGTACCGGCGATCGAACTCAGGACCTTGCGCTTGGGAGGCAGCGGAACCACTGACTGAGCTAACTCCCCGGCCCTAGGTGAGTGGTTTTGTTCAGTAGCCTTCCTGCTGCAGTGCCTCCCACAAGGCCAGGGCCCACTAGTCGTGCCCTGGAGCCTCCATTCTGTGAACCAAAGCAGCCTTTCTCTCGTTCTGAGTTGATTATCTCGGGCGCCTGTCAGAGTGGTGTGCTGGAAAGAGCGAAGGCCTACTGGAAGCACACTAGGCTCTTGTCTGGTTCAAGCCAGAACCGAAGTGGCTCTCCAAGGGCACGGTCAGTACAGCCCTCTCCTCCGGTGCAGCCCTCTCCTCCTGCTCTCCGACACGCAGGGACCCCATGCAGCCCCAAAACTCCGAACCCCGCATCCAAGAGTGCGCCCGCTCTGCCAGGGAGACTTGTTGGTGCCTTAAAGGACCTCCAAGGGAAATTGGAATGATACTTTTCCTACTGTCACTTGCTTTTTAAAATTTTTTAAATGCAAGATTTTACAGTCTCAACTATCTTCAAGTGTCCGGTGCAGTAGAACTGAGTACGTTCACATTGTTGTGCAGCCATCATTTCTAGCCCTTTTTCATCTTGCAACACTGCAGCTCTGTACCCCTTATCACTACCTTTTCATTCCCCTTCCCTACCCCAGCCCCTAAACCACCCTCCTGTTTTCTGTCTTGATGACTGACTATTCTAGCAACCTCCTGCAGGGAAACTGTGCTAACCTCCAGCCCCGCCACTGGCTCATCTTGGAGAAAATTGGACTGGGATCTGGGGCAGGCTCGACACTACAGGAGGGAGCCGACCTTGTCCTGTGGTGTTAGACAGGCTGGGCCCCACCGTGAGGCAGAGCTGAGGCCCATTCAGAGCTGGCTGCATCCCTGCTCAGCATCCACAACCCCGTGTGCGCGCCCGGGCAGCAGCCTCCCTCGGGGGTCCAGGAGGTGGCCTTGTGAAACGGTACAGTTTCATCGGCCCAAAAGTGAATGTTTACAGCTGGGCCAAGGAGGTGAAAATAAAGCTCTGACTGTCACCAGGGCCCTGACTGCCCCCTCAGCTGTCACCAGGCCCAGCTCCCCTCACCCGCTGGTCCTCGGGCCAGCCCTCTGCAGGGCCCCCAGCCCCATGTCCTGCCTCCTCTCTCAGGGAAGGGCCTCTCCGGGTTGGAAAAGACAGTTGGGGGCCCACAGAGGTGAGGTAAGCAGGGACATCGAGTCCTGGAAGTCCCAGTGGTGAGCCCGGGGCTGAGCACTCAGGGCAGCCCGAGTGTCTAGGGTAGGGGCGCTGCACAGTGAGGGCCCCTTCCTGTTCCAGGAGGATGGCCTCGGGAAGTGGGACGCACCTCGGAGAGGAGTTGTCCACAGCAGCGTATCCACACCTGCTACAGGCCCGGAAGAGGCCCTGGAGGTGCGGGGAGAGGTCACCGTGAGAGCCACATCTGGCCTCTCTCCAGGCCAGGTCCTGACAGCAGTGCCCAGGCACCCAGCAAGGCTAAAAAGAGTCCATGGTGCCAGAGGTCTGGATGGGCTGGTGGGTGGACAGGGAGGGACAGGAGGCACCCCCGCCCTGGAGGAGGCATTTCAGCCAGGTTTGGAGGATAAGGCTGAAGATGGCAGGAAGGCCGTGCATTTGGAGAAGAGTACCTGGTGGGCATAGGGCGTGGCAGGAGGCTGGACAGGTCAGCCGGTCCAAATCACAGAGCCTGGAATGCCAGGCTGCAGAGGCCGGAGGTTTTGAGTGCACCTGAGAGAACTCCAGCTTGAACAGGTGCGGGTACTGCAGTGTCCATGGAGCGGCTTCCAGCACAGTAGCACCCAGGGTCCGCGCTGTCCTTAGGAATGCACCCACTTTCCCACCCCTCACAGTGACCAGATGGCCCAAGCAATGTCAGCCTTGCACTGCTTCAGCTCACGGAGCCGCCAGCTGCCAGGGAGCTGTGGGATTATGCCTGAGCTCCGCTCCCCACTCCATTTGGATCAGGGCCATCTCTGAGCCAGTCTTTGTGGCCAGTGGGAGGAAGGAATACGTTGATGATCCAGGACTTGTTGGAAACAACCTTCATGGGGAGAGGGGCTCCCGACGGTGTCTGCCCCTAAGTGGAGAAGCTCCGTAGAAAAGCGATGGTCAGATTCTGAGGGGAAGGTTGGGGGCTTAAGAGGAAGGAGAAGGGGCACTGGGGGGGCGCAGCTCTCTCGGGAAGTGATCACTGGACTTGGGTGGACATCGAGGGTAAGGGGAACCTGGGGAACCCACAGGCCCCAGCTCCAGGGCACCCCAATGGCCCCTTGCTGTTGCAGGCAGGCATGCCCCGGACACTGAGCACTTCCGACATGGTCACCCCAGGCGGCCTCAGCCTGCCCCCCACAGAGCCCGCAGACGGCGAGCAGGCGGGGCAGCCCCTCCTGGACGGAGCTCCCTCCTCAGCCTCTCTGGACACCCTCATTCAGCACCTGGTGCCCACGGCCGACTACTACCCCGAGGTGGGTGCGCCACCTCGTGGGTGGGGGCAGCAGAGAGGGCTCGCTCCACCGAGGGCCAGGAGGGGCGGGTGAGGGCACGCCCTGACCCGGGCCCCTGAGAGCTGCACCGTCTTTCTCCCATGTACCCCCAGAAAGCCTACATCTTCACCTTCCTGCTGAGCTCTCGCCTCTTCATTGAACCCCGGGAGCTCCTGGCCCGGGTCTGCCACCTGTGCATCGAGCAGCAGCAGCTGGACAAGCCGGAGCTGGACAAGGTGAGCCCTGGGCTTCCGGTGGGCCAGCACAGCCCTGCCCGGCCCTCTGGGAAGGCTGGGTTGTCACTGGCCTGACAAGAAGGCCAGGCCCTGGAAGGATGGAGCTGTCCCTGCATCCCGGGGCAGCTTCCCAATGTCCTCTGTGCTCTTGAGCGCACGTCAAGCCCTGACCAGTGTCCCCGGGGCCCAGTGGGATGGGTCCCTGCTGTCCGTGTCCTGGGGTGGCCCTGTAGCCTCTGCTGGGCTTTCTTCCCCTACACACCGCTTCTCGGGGCTCTGCTGATGCCCTGGTCCTCCCGGGTTCCTGCATGCTTTACTCTTTTCCCGGCCTGATCCCTCAAGCTGCCACGTGGGTCGCTCTGCCTCCGTGGTTTCAGTCAGAAACCCAACTTCACCTGGCAGAGGCGTGACTGTCTCGGGGAGCCGCCAAGTCCTAGGCACGGCTGGCTCCAGGGGCCCGGGGGTCTCTCCGACCCGCTGCTGTGGTCTACTCCAGGCGGAGCCCCCACGCCGGGCCCCCGTTCCCGAGTGGTGACGGGTGGCCAGTCACAGAGCCCCGTCCATGCTTCCTGATCACACGGGAAGAGGAAGCCTTCTCCGTGCTCTAACACGGCCCAGTCGATGGCTCGGCCTAGGTCCCACGCCCACCCGAGAGTCAGTGTTACGGGGTGGGGGGACCAGGCCAGCGACAGGCCCGGGAGAAGGGGTGTGCCGGAAGGAAAGTCTCGGGGACACTGAACGGGCCACCGCGGAAGGCAGAGGAACGCGGGGAGCGGGCAGGAGGAGACACGGCCCCTTCGGCCCTGCCCTGCGCGGCCCCCTGTGGGGCACCGAGAGGCGCCAGCCTCCGCGGGCACAGGCCTGGGCGGCGCATGCGCAGTGAGGCCGGCCGGCTTCGCCCGCGCCTCGCCCTGGCGGCCCAGCCCTCTGCTTGCCTTGCAGGCCCAGGTCCGGAAGTTTGGCCCCAAACTGCTCCAGCTGTTGGCCGAGTGGACGGAGACCTTCCCTCGGGACTTCCAGGAGGCGTCGGCCATCGGGCACCTGGAGGACGTGGTGGGCCGCATCGCGCCCTGTGATGAGGTGGGCCCGACCTTCTCCTCCCACCTGCACACCGCAGCCACACTGGGAGGGGCACCGAGGCCGCTGGCTGCAGGCCTGGCTTCCGACGGCAGATGGTGGCGGGGGGAGAGCCCCTCACACATTCTTGTGCACCCGAGGTCTCCCTGCCTGGGCCCTCCTGGACCTTGGGCCACCAGGGCCTCCCTTCAGCTGTGCCTCGGCCCACCCAGAGCCAGCCTGGCAGCTGGTTCACCCAGCCAGGGAACTGCCAGGCAGGGGCAGGAGATCGGCTCCGGCTGAGGAACCAGAAGGACAAGGGCGGGCCTAACAGCTACACACTGGGCGGGGCCTCCTCGAATCTCCTGGGTCCCCAGGGGTGGCCTCCGAGGACCGTCATGCAGCCAAAAGCACGCTGCAGCTGACATGACCCTGACTCGTGGACACCCTGCTGGCTTTGGAGCAGCAGGTCTACTGGGCATCGGGTGCCTCTGTGTCCCACGCCCTGTCCTGCCCTCCTGGTTGTCACTGCAGGGAGGGCACTTCCAGGAACCCAAGCCTTACTTCATTTGTGGGTGCCAGGAGACAGAAATCTCCAGCTCCCGGGATTGTGGTCAGGGCGAAGGAAGAGCCCTGCAAAGGGGCCAGATGTCGCCTGTGTGCCTAGCAGTGAGAGGGTTACCGGAGCCCCAGAGGACCCTGTGGGCAGCACTGATGTCCTTTTTCTGGAAGGAGAGGACATTTTGAGGAGTGAAGGAGGGCTGCTGTCAGGCATCCTGGGAGGAAACTGAACCCAGCGGGCTGGGAGCTAGTGGTGTGGCCCAGCGTGGGTTTGAAGGCCCTAAGGCAGGGGGGACCACAGGAGGCCCAGGTGCCCGAGCCTGAGGCTCAGGGACAGGGCCTGGACCTCTGGAAGTGAGATGAGAGATGTCTCCTTCCCTCCCGCCACCTCCCTCTCCGCGCTCCCTGCTCCATCCCAGATTCGGGGCCTCGGATGCAGCTCAAGGGGGTTGGGGAAGACCTGACGACCAACCCAAAGGACGGCAGGAGTGGGAGCTGAGAATGAGGTGCGGGCGGCCTGGCTGGCTGGAGCGTCACTGCGGGTCTGTGGGGGCCCTGTGAGGGGAGGCAGCCTGCTGGTGGGGTGGGGCCTCAGGAGCCGAGAACCCAGCCTGTCCGCAGTGAGAGGCCGCAGTGGCAGGCAGGGCTGGTCACCGGCTGACCTGCCCAACACTGGGCAGGCGCACCGCTGGGTGCACTGGTGTCGTCCTGGGTGGATTCCCCTAGGCCAGTGCCCCTCGCCAACCTGTGAGCCGGCCAGGACCCGGGCCAGTGTGCTCCCACACCTCAGTCTCCCTGCTGCCAGGCCCGCTCGGCATCCTCACCCTGGGTGCTGGCTGTGGGCGGTGGGTGACCACGGGCCTCGGTGGGAAGAGCGCGGAACAGGGTGAGTAGGGCTCGTGTGGCTCAGAACGGGCCCTGGATCGGACCACCTAGGCCGAGGTGCAGGCTCAGGAACCGCAGCGGTGGGCCTTGGCAAGGTGCTGAGCCTCTCTGAGCTTCAGTTTCCCGGATTTTATTCCCTGTTCCCACTGCCAGCTCCGCAGCAAGGAGGCCCCGACGTCACGTATGCTCACCATCCAGCCCTTGGCAAATTGTAAGCTAGGATGAGAAACAAGTCCAGGCATACGGAGGCCACTGACTTTTAGGGAACATTTCAAACATGCCCACACAGAGAACGGAGACCATGAGCTGCCTCGTACATCGCTTGGCTTCAGCAGCTGTTGACGCTGGGCCAGACTGTCTTCTGCTCCAGAAATATCCCAGCGTTGTCGGTGTCACTGCCGTTCTGGTCTGGAAAGGACGGGGTAGAGGAGGAGTAGGGTGACGACTGCACCCAGGGCCCTGCATGCTGGGCACCCCCCAGCCCTGGCACTGTCTTACTGGTCCTCACAGGGATGGAATTCAGTGGTCGCGAGTCATGAAATGAGCGTGGGTGTTTTCAGAGCATGCGCCTTTGGGCAAGTTACTGAAGGCTGAACCGCACGTCTTCCTAAAGGGAAGGCGATGACTCCTCCCTCGGGCAGCTGTGAGGAGAGGAACAGAGCTCAGGGATGCACCGGAGAGGGCAGTGAGCTGGCAGCGATGAGTCTCTGCCTTCCCGTCCCCGCCGGCCTCAGTACGCGGAGGCCCTTGGCTCTCCCCCAGGTCCTCACTCTGCCCCCTTCCTTCCAGGCGGTTGGGAACAGCATGCTGGAGAGGGGCCGGTGTGGGACTGGGCTCTGGGGTTCATTTGGACACCTGCTCTGGTGTCGGGCCAGCCTAGCCTTGGGGGGCGCTGGCAGGTCAGGCTCAGCCCTGACGGCTCGGGGAGGCTGGGGAGACAGGAGGGAGGAAGCACAGACCTGCACTGCAGCCACCCTGACCACAGGCAGCCTCCTGAGGACGAGGACGGACTTCACCCTCCACTCCCACTCCCTGCAGCCCGCTATGCGGGTGGCCGACCACACTGCCCTCCGGGGGCAGGGGTGGCAGGAAGCCGACTCGGGACAAACCTCTCCTGCGCTCCTGCCCTGGCAGCATGGGCTGAGCCCAGGGGACACTGCCCAGCTGGCTTCACACAGCAGGGCCCGGTGCTATCCAGCCAGGATGAGGGGCTCAGCCATGGAATGTGCCATCTACGAAAACCCAGGCACCTTCTGAGCCAGGCCGCCCACCAGCCCAGGCTCCATGGCTTCTGCTTCCACCCGAGCTCTGGGAGCCGCAGACAGCTCCGAGGAAGGTCCCGGGAAGGTTGGCTGGACGTCCTCCAGCTTCTGTCAGTGGAGGGGGACCCCAAGGTAGGTGAGGCACGCACTGTGCCAGCCCAGGCACCTCCTGGCATGGCAAATGTGGGTCACAACAGCGAGCAGCAGGGAGCACCATGACCGTCGGAGTGGCTGGTGTCCCTGGGTGGCCAGGATTGTGAAGGGCTGGGGTGAGGCTGGGGTAGGAGCCCCTAGCCTGTCCACACCCCCGGATTCCATTCTCAGCATGAGGGGCGGGGAGGGCATTGTTTACAAACAGGGCAGTGGGTGGTGGTTGCCTGATAGGCACGGCCACCTGTACCTCTGATCTGCAGTCGACCCTGAGGCCCCGCAGAGAGAGCGCTGTTGGCAGGGGAAGGCCCTGTTCATCCAAGCTGCAACGGACGAGGCCGAGCTGAGCATGAGCAGCGACCTGCTGTAGTCTGCATGGAGCACAGTCCAGAGGGAAGACACGTGACCAGAGCGACCTCTGCAGGGCCCTGGATCACAACAGCAGGAGCTGGGCCAGGCGCAGTGCATGGGCACCCGGCCCCCTGCGGCGAAGACACCCGAGCTTCAGGGGACGAGCAGCACATACTGATAGCAGCACACTCGGGTCTTCTGGGGACACCAGGGGGGATGGAAAAGGATCCAGAGGAGGGACCTGTGTCCAGAGCCCAGAGGGAGCAAGGGCGCGTGCGAGCCATTGAGTTGTCCAAAGGTGGACTTGGCCCTTAAAGCCACAAAAGCCATGGAAACACTTTAAGGAAAAGGGAGGCGGCAACCAGCTTTGCATTTGCACAGCCCAGTCTGGCCGGAGAAGGAATGGAGAGGAGCCAGTGTGGATGAAGGGGACCTTCCTGGAGGCCAGTTCGGACCCAGGGCAGTGGCAGGGGGCTGGACCACAGAGCTGATGGTGGACATGCGTGGAAGTGGAAAAAAGGATGCCAAGGATGTGGACGGGGCTTAGAGCCATGAGCGAGGAGGGTCGGAGGATCAAGGACTCCGGCCAGTGTGCAGATGGATGCCTGGTGTCCTTGCCAAGACTGGGCCTGCAGCTCCCATAAGTAATCAGGGGGCCAGGGGCAGCACACGGTGGGGACCAGAGGCTGAGGACACCGTGGAGCTGAGCAAAGCAACAGGAAGGGAGCTCTGGACCAAGACAGGAGGAAGCTGTACCTGGCGCGGCAGACAGATGGGCCCACCGACAGCCTGGCAGGAGGAACCCCGGCAGCTGTGGACGATGCCTCTGAGAAACCGCCGCTGATTTTAGGGACTGGTGTCAGGGCCAGTGAGAGTTTGTCCGGTGGCCCATGGGAGTGGCAGCTAATGGAGTGGCCGAGGAGTCAGGGTGAAGAGCCAAGACGAAGCCGCTGGCCTGGGCCTGTAGCCCCAACTCGTGTCCAAGCACATGGTGTGCAGGAAGTGGATGGGGGAGGGTGGGGGTCCCAGGGGGCTGTCACCTTCCTCACCATCTTCCCCGCCAGCGGAGAACCCAAGGCAGTGTGCGGACTACATAGTGCAAAGCATTGCTGAGCGGGCACCAGAACAGAGGCAGTCCTCAGTTTAGTCACTCACCACCCAGCTCTCCGGCCGCCTGCGTCTGACGTCCACAGCTCAGGTTCTCTTTAGGGTTAGGCTTAGAGAGGATCAGCATTAAGCAGCCCGTCCTGCTCTCTGTGTCCACGTCCAGGGGCCAGGGAGGACACTACCCGTCACCAGAACACTGGGAGCCGACAGGCCTCAGAGAGCAGGGGCACCCGAGCCTGTCAGAGGCACCAAGGAACTGGGGGCCTTGGTGCCTCTCAGCGCAGAAAGCCAGACACCCACATCTGCAAAAGGCCACTAGATGTGTGTTTCAAAACAGCACGAAGTGGCCCGGGGATTTAGCTCAGTGGTTTTGCCGCCTGCTGAGCAAGTGCAAGGACCCGAGTTCTATCCGGGTACCAAAAACGGAAAAAAAAAAAAAAAACAGCAGGAGGAAAAGCTCGCTCCTCTTTTCCTCTGTCGTTGCCTGACAATTCTGAAGGTGCACCAGCCTGTCCAGGCCTCGGGCACAGTCTGTCCGGTGGCCTCAGTGTTGCTGGGGAACCAGGGCCTCCTGCTGCCAGCCACTGCCCTGCCAGCAACCAGGCGGCTCCCTGGCTCACGGGAGGCTGCGTCTGTGGCTGGCTGACATCTGCTCCAGCTCAGGAGCTCAGGGTGCTATGCTCTACAACCAGACCCTTGGGACTGCTGCTGTTGCACTCTAAACCCAGCTGAAGGCAAGACCCTTCAGCAACAGGCTCTCTGAACGGGAAGGGGCGGTTTCTCCTTAGGGTGGAAGGGTGGGGGGGTCTTAGAGGAGGGGCCGTGGTGGCCTTTGGTCCCTGTGGTCCCAGCCGAGCTGAGGGGAGTGGCAGTTCGGTCTTCATTGCCACCCACTGTGCGCCCCACGCTGCCGGTCATGGAGGTGCGGGTGGAGCCTTGTCCTGCTGGGATAAACACCAGCCCTGGAAGCTCGCTGCAGTTTCCTGGCTGGCACTGACAGAGGCCGAGGGCAGGGCAGCGGGGCTGGGCCCACTCCCCGCAGGGCCTGCCCCAAGCCTCCCGCTCCTTCCTGTCTCCCTGCCGCCCACCCTACTCTACCTGAGCCGGGCCAGTCGCCTTGCCTGGTGAGTGAGCCTCCCGGCAGCCTCCTCCCGGCTGGCCTTGACTTGCAGCCCTGACCCCGGTCTGTCGGGCAGGGCAGGTCGTGGCCCTGGGGAGCAGCACGCGCCTTCGGAGCCCCGAGCCTGCCCACCTCCGTGGAGAGGCCCGGACTAGTGTCCAGGCTGAGGGCCCCTCCCCTGCCTCCCTCCCCAGGCCTACCGGAAGAGGATGCATCAGCTGCTGCAGGCTCTGCACCAGAGACTGGCGCTGCTGGGCCAGGGCCCCGAAGGCCCCGGGGGCGCGGACAAGCCCGTCTCCTACCGGACGAAGCCGCAGGCCTCCATCCACAGGGAGCTCCTCGGCGTCTGCAGCGACCCCTACACGCTGGCCCAGCAGCTGACCCACGTGGAGCTGGTGAGCAGGCTCCGCCCAGGGCTCGCGGGGGCCTGCAAGGCTCGGGCGGGCAGCGGGGACCGGGCTCGCGCGGCCCCTTCCCGGGGCGGCCCGGCGGCCTGGGGGACGGAGCCAGCGGCCTCTCCCCCGCAGGAGCGGCTGCGACACATCGGGCCCGAGGAGTTCGTCCAGGCTTTCGCGAGCAAGGAACCGCTGGACGGCGCGCAGGTGGGCGGGGCCCCCGGGCGGGAGCCGGGCGCCCTCCAGCGGCCGTGCGGGGAAGCGCGCCAGGTCTCCCGCAGGCGCCCTCACACCCGACGCAAGAGGTTGAACTGCGGCTTGGCGTGCTGCAGTCTGGGAGCTGAGGCAGGCGGTCACAAGTTCGAGCCCAGCCTGGGCAATTTAGTGATTTAGCGAGACTGCGGCTCAAAATAAAAAATACAAAAAGGGTTGGGGGTGTAGTTCAGTCCAAAGGCCCCAAAGTCAGTCCCCACGACTGGAAAAAAATACAAGCTAAGCACTGCAGTGTGAGACTGCCTTATGCCTCTCAGTGAGCGAGGATCACAGCAGGAAGGAGCGGCGGCTGGGGGAGCCGCACCGTGGGCAGCGGGGGACAGGGACGCAGGCCTCAGGGGCAGTTTGGGCAGCCTCGGCTAGGACGCAGCTCCTACTGCTGCCCTGACCTGGGACGCATTCCGAACGCCAGACACATAAGTAAGTCTACATCCTCCACTCAGCTTTCCGCAGCTAGTCATTTATCCTGCAGTAAACACAAGGCGCACATGCAGAGATACCCGGGATATATAGTTTGCTACGGGCAAAGACTGGAAGGAAATTACTTTATTATTGTGAGGAGTAGATCAAAAAGTATAATACGTCCACCGTGACACACAGCTTTTAAAAATAAGGCCACCTTGGCCGGGCCTGTAATCCCAGCACTTGGGAGGCTGAGGCAGGAAGATCCCTTCGAGTTCGAAGCCAGCCTGGGTTACATAGTGAGTTCAAGGCCAGCCTGAACTACATAGGGAGTCCCTTTCTCAAAACAAAAGAGAAGGTCACCGTTAGCTCCATACGTCCAGTTACCCAAGAGAAAAAGAGGTAGGGATGGGGACCTGAGAATGTGACCTCTTGGGTCATCATAACAAAAAACGCTTTCGGAGGCCCTCTGCTTACCCAGGTACGTGACAAATCTACAGAAATATGGGGGCCCTCTGGGAGTGTGGTTGGTCTTGTGTGTGAGGTTTCCCACTGTGAGCATTTCCTCTTACTGCACAGTGTGTATCAGGGTTGCACAGAAGTGCGGCTCCCACCCCACTGTGATGAGCCTTTTCGTTCCCCTCCTTGCTGTGCAGACGGGGCTTCGTGAGCTTTCTGACGCATGTTGGGGTCACACTTTCTCCAGGGCATCACATGGAAAATGGCTTGTTCTCGGGACCCCTTACATGCATGAAAATTATTGGGGGCCTCAAAGAACTTTTGGTTATGTGAGTTGTTTCCATCGCTACTTAACATATTAGCCATTAAAACTTCTGGCTTTTAAAAATACTTACAAATAGCTATAATAACTGATCCCGTGTTTGCATAATTAATATATTTTATGAACCATAACTATATTTCCACCATAGAAAATTAGAAGAGTGACATTGTTTTATCATATTTTCACAAATCTCTGTAATGTCTGACTTCACAGAAAACAAAGAGATTCTCTCTTCTTCTGCATTCAGTCTCTCAACATACCCTATTCTGGTTGAAGAAAACCCAACCTCACACAGACATGTGTGAAAGTTGAAAGTAAATGTTCATGTTAGATTCTGCATCAAAACTCAGCAAATGATAGTTTTTAAGGATCAATTGTAATATAAGATCTGAAAGCGTATCAGTGAACTTTCTATGTGGCATAACATCCGTCGGTCCATCTTGTATCTCAAATGCATGTTTTTGTAACATCATGCTTTGGTCATTTAGAAAACATAGTCACTGAGTTAGGCGGATCTTCCAAATATTGCCGCATTTCATTATAGAGAACTTTAAATCGCATTCAGTAGTATCACCCCTGATCCCACAATTTGAAGGACAGCTGAGGCTGAGGTGTAGTTCCTGGTAGAGAGCTTTCCTGGCTTGCATAAGACCCTGGGTTCCATCCCCAGCACTGCAAAAAAACTAAATATCAAACACAGTCTAGCTCATAGAGGCAGATGCATGTTTTACAAGTTCCCAATTTTCTCTTGAAAGCTTGAATCTTATCATTGGCAGTAAATACCGTGAATTGTTTCCCTTGAAGTGACGGGTTTGTTTCGTTCTCTTTAAGTAAATGTCAGCCAAATACTGAAGTCTGGGAAATGAGAGTTTGCTAGTCCTTTTCTAGAGGACAGGCAGCGTTTGCAGGAGCGCTGGTCTGTTCAGCACCAGCCACTCACGCACCGGCCCTCAAGAGCTGGGCGGGCCACAAAAGTGCTCTGGACTTGTCACATCAGACACTGCGTGAGAAAGATTTAATAAAGCTGGAAAGTTGTGCCTCTCTGAGGGCACCTCAAGCCACACTCGCGTTTTCTCCTTTGCTGGGCGGCTCACGCGCTACTGCGTTGTCACGCCAGTCAGGCTGCAAAGCAGCGCCTCTGCCAGCCGCATCGGCCAGTCTTGGCCTCCTCTGTGACTGTTGCAGTTTTCTATTAGCACTTCGTCTTTTTCTTGAAGGATTTTTCATAAATTTTTGTTTTATTAGAAATGTGTACTTTCAAAATAATCCTCTGTCAGAGGTCCTGCAAAGTTTCTTCCTCCTGGTTGGCTGATTTGCTTTTCACTTTCAGTTCAGTGGCTTTTCATGAGCAAGTGATCTTTCGTTTGATCCAGGCAAATTTACCAAACTTTTTCTTTCTTTCTTTCTTTCTCTTTGAGAGAAGAGGGTTAATAAATCCTTTCCACGCCCCTCTCAGGGCATAAAGACAACATCCTCTGTTTCTTCTAGAAGATTTTACATTTTGCCTTTTACCATTTTTTTTTTTTTTGGTACTGGGGATCGAACTCGGGTCCTTGCGCTTGCCCAGCAGGCGGTGAAACCACTGAGCTAAATCCCTGGCCTGCCTTTTACATTTTGATCTGAAATTCATTTTGTGCATTTGGCTTCAGGTGGGATTCATTTTCTTTTTTTTTTTTTCCAGAAAAATGACCAGTGGCTTCTGTGCCATTATTTACATATCCCTTGCCCGGCCAATGCCCTGGCACACGTCTCTGTGGTAGGTGCTGGGGTCTGTGCCTGGACGCTCGGTCCTGCTGCATCTGTCCCTGGGACAGAACTCAGGGTCTTCCTTGTTGCAGTTGGATAATAAGTCCCGACTCCAGGGAGGAAGATGCCCCGCGTTCTGCTTTAGGCTTGGCTTGGATATTTCTGATCCTTTGCCTGTCTATTTAAATTTTAGAATCATTTGTCAAATTCTATGAAAACTCTGATGGAGACTTTTTGGATCCCATTAAATGTAGAGCCATCTGGGAAGGATTTACACCTACATGGTATCGAGTCTTCCAATCTATAAAAATAATACACAGCTCCATGATATCTTGTGATGGCTCATAACTTTCTCCATAAAGTCTTACACAGATTTTGTAGATGTTTTCCCTATGTGCCTATACATAGTTTTTGCTATTGTATATGAGGTAATCTATTTGTGCAGATTATTTTTAAATGTTTTTAGATTTCTAGATGTTTTTAAAGTATATATATATATATATATTTGTATATACACATCCTCAAATAAATGACCGTAGCCTTCTGTATTTGTCCATTACTTCAACTATGTATTTATTGCATTTCCTGTCTGCTTGTTGCTGTTAATAGAATGCCATTTATTTTCATCTATCAATTTGGTATGTGACAATATTGAAGACCTTTATTAATTCTGTTAAAGTGTCTGTTGTCCTTTAGGGTTTTCCGAGTAGACAGTCATATCACCTGGGAAAAACAAGTTTTGCTCCCCCTTTCCAAGCTATATTCTTTCCATTTTTGTCGTGTTCATAGAAGAGTCTCTGTCCAGTGCTATGAATGGGCAAGAACAGTAGAGACCTCTGAGTCCACTGTAAACCTCTGGGGTGTTGCGGTTGTGAGCTGCTGCAGAGCCAACCCTGCCCAGGCTAGCGAGTCTGACTGCTTTGTGCTAACTCTCAGGTCTCCACAGTGTAGACAGAAGTGTGGCAGCTGGCGCTCCGCTCTGTTTGATTCTAACAGGGTTGCTTCGGACCAGCCCCAGTAGAGCACTGCGTGGTGCTTGCTGTTGGGCTTCCTGGGGTCCCGTTTATGTCTCAGGAAGCACCCCGTTCCTTCCTAGTTAGCTAAAGGTTCTGACATGAATGGTTGTTGAATTTTATTGAATTCTTTCTCTGGATCTGTCATTCATGTGTTCTCCTTTTCGTTTTTTTTTTTAATCCATGTTGAATTAACCTTCCATTTCTATGATAAAACTGGGATAAATGAAACCATTATCTTTTTCACTCATCCCTAGATTCAGTGTGTTAATGTTTGGTTTAGAATTTTTGTAATTGTAATCATGACTGAGATCGAGCTGTAATTTTCCTTTCTGACACTATTCTTGGCTGGTACTTGGTTTCTATTTCCCTTTATTCTGAATTAAAAATTGGAACCCATTCTTGGAACATTTGGTTAAATTTTTCAGTGAAGTATGTGGGCCTTCTATGTTCTTCGAGGAATAACTTTTATGTTCAGGCTCAAGGTTTTCCTTCTTTGTTTCTTTGCTTATCCTTGTGGTATAAGACCATTTAGGTTTCCATTTCCTCTTAGGTCTGTTTTGTAAGGTATATTTTTCCAAGAATTTGGCCTTTCCACTAAGTTTTCACATTCATAGACACATTCACAGATAACTATTTTCTAGTTACAGCAATGCCTTGGTTCACAAACGCTTCTGTTTGCAAACAGAAGCATTTGGCAAAATTTTGCTTCTGTTCTGGAATTCCACATTGGGTGATAAACTTCTCCAGAATTGTGGAACAAATTAAGTTTGTGAACCAAGGTACCACTGTATCTCTTAAATTTCGTCACATCCAAATTGATTTATCTTTAATATTCTTTGGGTTTTTTCTCTCCTTGCTTCTTCACCAGTATTGGAAAGATTCATCAATTTTTCTAGTGTTTTCACATAAAGAACTTTTGACTGTTGATTTTATGATTTCAACTTTGTTTACCATTTTATTTTCTAGTCTTTATTTCCTTCCATTTACTTTCCTTAAGTTTATTCTGTTACTCTTTTTCTCATTTCTTATGCTGGATTTCAACTTTTTCTTAGCCTTTCTACTTTTCTAATAAAAGAATTTTTATTATCTAATAAAATTCTAATAAAAGAATCATTTCTTTTTAAATACGTATTTATTTATAGCTTCTAAATTGTGTTTTCCAGTATTTTCACTATCATTCCAATTCCATTATTATTTCATCTTTGGCCTGTGGAATACTTCAAAATGTGTTGTTAGATTTCCAAGTGTTTGAAAAGAGTGCATATTTTCAAGTGATTGAGTTCTAGCTTTCATTGTTGTCCATTATCTCAACTAGGTAAATTGTGTTCCTCAACTTTCTGTCTCTACTTTTTCCCCCAGTTTCCCTGTCCCATTAGCTGCTGGTATGTGTGTAACACTCTTCCACTGTGATAGTATGATTCCCTTTCTCCTGATGAGGCGCTCCATCTTCCTGCTGACTTTTTTTTCCTCTGCATCTGAAAGCTGTGTTACACCTGCAGACAAGTTTAGATTCATGACCCATTCCCAATAAACCAAGCCTCTTGCCATTTTGTAGTTACATTTCAGTCTTTTCTTCCTTTGTGTTTTGAAATCAGTTTTGTCTAATATTTGTTTGGATTTTTTTTTAGTACCGGGGATCGAACTCAGGACCTTGGGCTTGCGACGCAAGCATGGCACCACTGAGCTAAATCCCCAGCCCAGTTTTGTCTAATATTAATCCAGAGGTTCCTCAACTTACAATGGGGTTACATCCAGGAAAGCTCATTGTAAAGTCAAAAAATCATTAAGGCAAAGCATCACTTGTCAAGAACTATCTGAACAGTTGTTTGATATTTATTACACTTACATTTTCCCATTGTTTACTTATATCCCTGAGTTTAGAATGTGTCTCTTAAATAATGACAAGGAGCAGGAAGTTTTTTAAATTAACAGTGATTGTAACTACTGATCTATAAGGATTTGTTCTTATTGTCCTCATTGTACTATTCATTGTCCATTTTTTCTATTATTTTTTCCTTCCTCCTTTACATCTTTTGAATTAATAGGTCCCTTATTCCATCTTCCCCCGCTATTGAAAATGATGCCAGCAGGTATAACCTGCACTTTCAAGCTAGCTTAGGTTTAATCTTTTAAACTACGATACATGTATATAGTTGAATGTTCTACATCAACTTAAAAATATCTTTCCAAAGGATTCTTTATGACACAGGAAAAAGTTAATGTGGAAATGTGGAGATGCATATAGTCAGTAGAGATGCATCGAACTGAGAATTGGCCTGGGTTGTTCACTTATTCACAGGCATTATCTTCCAGAACATTAATGCCGTGACTAAACCATTGTTCCTACATCAAATGCAAGCTTCTCATCATGGCAGTTCATCAGGCAATTGATGTGTAGCATTGTTCAAGTTTATGTTCAAAGACATTTCATTCTGATTAATATCAGAGTCATCGTGCACTGTGGCGTGTACCTGAGTGATGCTATTCCACCTGTGCTCTGCAGAACACAGCACACCTGTGTGTACTTGGGACACCTCACATCACATCAGCACTGTGCTTGGGTTACCCGATGGGGCCAGGACAGGCGCCAGAAAATGGGGAAAGGTATTCAATAGATAAAGAATACTTGCTGACAGTGCAAGAGCCAAAACAAGAAGGCAGAGTTTCATCTAGTTCAGCCTCTGCTGGAGATGCTCACTTGTGTGGAGTGACTCTGTTTTGTGGGATTACAGATAAAATTTAGGGTGTGGGCAAATTTACAAATTGAGAATCCATGAATAATGAGGCCAACTCTGTGTGTGTGCGCGCGCGCGAGCGCGTGTGCACCCGTGCACCTAATTTTGAATTACATCTTTAAACAGACAGGAACCCCCCCAAGGCTGCCCACTGAAGCATTGGTATTTCTAGACGGATTGTGCTTTCCACACTGTCTCGATTGTCATAACCATAAACTGACTTTATGTTCTAAGTTATTGACAGACCCAGTGTGTGGTCCTGTGTGCCTTTTCCAGCCCTGTTTCAGTGACAAGACCAACAACCTAGAGGCCTACGTGAAGTGGTTCAACCGACTGTGCTACCTGGTGGCCACTGAGATCTGCATGGTGAGCGGAGAGTCGGGCAGGATGGTGTGGCCAAAGGCGTCTGGGCCAGGAGGGCCCCGAGGGAGAGACCCCCGGGCAGCTTCCGCAGGACCCTCTCCAAGCCCAGGGTGTAGTGGGGCCCTCCTCCAGGTACCGCCCTGTCCTGCGGCGACACCTCTCCCATGCCAGAGCCTGGCAGCTCCACAGCCAGTGTCCCCTGGTGACATCCAAGGCTGCTCTCTGAAGGCTTGGGGAGGTCAGCCTGGGCAGCTTCCACCTCCGCCTGCACTGTTGCCTTAGAGCCCAGCCAGTAGCAGGTTTGCTTTGGCTCTGTCAGGATTGAGAGGTAGAAGTGATCCAAAGTGATCTTCAAGAGTTGGGAGATCATATATGAGAAGTCCAGTCAGTGGCTTCTCCTGGACGTCAGGAGGCCCCAGCAGCCTGAGCTGGACACACTTGTCCCTGAGCCGAGATGCCCTGCAGAGGAGCCAGCGCTGGACCCTCTGCCATGCTGTAAGGTGACGACTCAGGGGCCACTCAGGGCTCCTGGAAGCAGGTGCTGAGGCCAAGCCTGGGAGCCGTGTTCCTGTGGGGTCTCCTGCACAGGAGAGCAGGGCAGGCCGTAATGTGAGGAGGGGAAGCTTCGGTGCGATGCCTTTAGCCCCCACCTGGCTCGGTCGCTGGCACTGGTGCAGGCTGCCCCTGGAGGACAGGGCGAGGCCAGGGGTGCTTCCCGTGGCCATGGCCAGCCCGTGAGGGAGGCTCTGTGCCTGTCTCCTCGGACGCCACAGCACGTGCCTTGGCGGCACAGTAAGTGAGCAGAGTCCGTGCAGGCACCCTGGCCGGGCACATATCCCCCCTTCACATCCCTGGCCTGAGGGCTGAGATGGGTCACCCCGTGGGCCCGGGGCAGAGCCCAGGCGGGCACCCAGCGGGCTCCAGGGAGGAGGAGTGTGGTTTGGGGCATCGAAGATGGAGTGCCGCCGCACTGGCCCTTGCAGGGCAGCCACCGACCTGTTCCAAGCCGTGCCTCGGGCCCTGGCTGTGCAGCAGATGGCTCTGGGCCCCACGGCAGCCCCAGGCCCCCTCCAAGCCCTCCAGTAGGAGCCGTGCTGCTGTGAAGTGGGCTTGGACGGGTCCCGAGCGCCGGGCCGGCGGGCTGAACGTCTCATCTCTGACTCTGGGGTCTGTCCGCAGCCGGCCAAGAAGAAGCAAAGGGCTCAGGTGATCGAGTTCTTCATCGACGTGGCCCGAGAGTGCTTCAACATCGGCAACTTTAACTCCCTGATGGCCATTATCTGTGAGTGGCTGCCCAGGCGGGGTCCCACGTGGGGACCGCAGGGCGGGTGGCAGGGCCCGTGGGGCAGCCAGGTGCCGGCCAGGTCCTCTCTGAGCAGTGCTTGGTCTGTGCCCACGGCCCCGCCCTCTCAGGGAGCCAGGTGAGGGCCAGGCAGTGTCCTCAGATGCAGAGAGAATGAGGGCCCCGGGCAGGGTCCATGAGGCAGACACAGGCTCAGTGGGCACACATGAGCTGGGCCCATGGCCACTGCAGACCTCAGTCCTGGCGGGGTGCACAGAGCCCCTGCGGAGACTGCCCAGGCCCAGGGAGCCCTCCCCAGCCCGCCCTCCTTCTTGCAGCTGGTATGAACATGAGCCCCGTCTCCAGGCTGAAAAAGACCTGGGCCAAAGTGAAGACGGCCAAGTTCTTCATCCTGGAGGTAACCAGGCTGCCGGGCGGAGGGCGCGGCCACGGGGCCTCCACAGAGCCTCCCAGCGCCTCCCTGTCTCCTTCCAGCACCAGATGGACCCAACAGGGAACTTCTGCAACTACAGGACGGCCCTGCGCGGGGCGGCCCACCGCTCCCTGACGGCGCACAGCAGCCGGGAGAAGGTAGGCGGGAGGCCCTGCCGCACCTCCTGCTCGGGAGCAGCCTGGCCAGGTGTCAGGTGCTGCCGGCTGGTTACTGCAGCAAATTCCGGAGGGCCGCTTGGAAAGAGGAAGGGTTGGCTCTGCCTGGACTTGGAGGTTCCAGTCTGTGGCGGGCTGGCCTGTTGCTCCGGGGCCTGTGGCAGAGCAAAGCACTCACTTCAGGGCCGGGCGCCTGCGCTCGCTCGGGCACCTCCCAACAGCGCCACTTAGCGGGCACTGAGGATCCGGTGGACAGCAATCCGGCACCTGGGCTGATCCGAGCGTGCGGGCTGGGTCGCACCGGCCCTGCCGGTGTTGGCTGTGCGCCTCGCTTGCTTTCCTCCAGTGGGGGCCCCACCTCCCAAAGCAGGCCAGGCCCCTCGGCAGCCCCTCCGTAAGGGCCTCTTCATGGGGCCACCACTGTCCTCCCCGGGGCTGTTCCTCTCGGATTGCGGGCACTGGTCCGCCCCAGCCCTCCGGTCCCCTCCAGCCCGGGCGCGCCCGGTGTTAGGGCTTCCAGGCCCCTCCCTGCTCACCCCACACAGCTCCACCTGTCAGAATCCTTTGTTTCAGATCAAACTGAGGTTCCAAATACAGAGGGTCTTTTGCCTCCCTCATTCTAAGCATAATACTTTTATTTATGTGACCGCAAATCACATTTTTGTTTTTGGCAATGACTAACCAAGCTTCCTGTTCATCCAAACTGCGTTCTCACAGGTGATGTTCTTACACCTTTGTGTTCTGGAGCGACTTCATTGACCCTGATCATTTATTTCTTCTCCAGATTCTCCTAGTGATCTGTGATACAGGACGCTATATGTAGGCCCTGGGATTGCAGTGATCTCTGGCTTAAAACCTGTCACTAGCCTCCTGACCCTCAGGAGGAGACCTCAAGGCATGGTGAGCCTTCTGAGTCTGGTTTCCTCCAGGAACATTGGTGGCATCCGGCCGCCACACTGGTGAGCGAGGTCTGCACCAACCAGAGGGGCAACAGCATAAAGTGCTTTCTTAAAATTCTAAGTCACTCTGGGCTTGTACCAGCTGGGGACAGTGGTCAGGCTTGAGGTGCTGCAGCAGGCACACACGCATGCCACCCCCCAGGTCCTCGGCAGGAGCCATGTGAGCTGCCCTGGCTCCCTGGTGGTGTGGCCTCACCCGCTGGCACTTGCTGGATCCCAGGTGGATGCTGCAGGGAGTGGGGAGCAGCGCGGGGTGGTGCCAGACTCCTAATCCTAGGCAAGTGAGCAGGAGCCCAAGACCAGGGAGCGGGCAGCAGGGTAGGAGCCTGGCCATGGGGGACCTGCTGTGCATGGCCGCTGGCCTCATCTCCCCTCCCAACTCGCAAGGCCACTCTGGGACGGGCCTGAGCATCGCCACTCCCTGGACAGGAAGCCTGAGTCTCAGAGGGGAGACTTCACCAACCGCTCACACTGGCTGGAAGCGGCAGATCCAGGGCCCCAACTCCTGCCGGCCTGGTGTGAATCTCATGGTCTGTGTACCAGGCTGCCCTGTTCCCAGGACACACAGTGCTGGCTGGCAGCCCAGGAGCTGGACCATGGACTGAGGATCTAGAGGAGCTAGGCATGCAAAGCAGGGGGAGCCTGGGGCGGGTGGACAGGCTGGGACTTTGTGTTCCTGTGCTGCACATCTCCTTCCAGCACCAGGATGCCGGGGTGCTGTGCATTCAGACTGGTGTTGTAGGTAGGTGGTTCACAAGTGTGTGTTTAGAGGAAGACAAGTGGGTAGCTGCACGGGTGGGTGGAAGGAAGGAGAGAAGGAGGGGTGGGAGGGTGGGTAAATGGATAAAAGGAAGGATGGATGGAGGGAAAGATGGACGGATGGATGAATGGACGAATGTGGATGAATGGAAGGATGGGTGGGTGCTTAGAGATGACCTCACCGTTCCCATGCACAGCAGCTCAAGGTGAGGCCTGGAGAGCTCAGGCTATAGCACTTCATGCTTCCTGCCTGCCTGTGATCAGCTCCTGCCTACCCTTCTCTCCCAGGAGGTGTCAAGGGACCCACTTCTCCGGGAGGTCTCCCCTGAGCTGGGTTCTGATTCATCTTCTCAAGTCCAGAAAGCAAGGCCTTGTAGCAAGGCAAAGCAGTGGCTTTGTAGTTACAAAGGTCCCTGTCGGCACAGGGGACCAGGCCAGATGTGATGGCAGCCCTGACCCAGGCGGAGGTGGTAGCAGTGGTCAGAAAGGCTCACGTGGAGAAAGTGCTGCCGCCCGCAGACCGGCTCCAGGGTCTGGGACTGGGGGCTCGGCCCAGAGAGAAGGGGAAGCACAGACAGAGACCAGGTTATGTACCCCTGCGGGTCTCAGGCTCCTCGTCTGTGAGGGGCGAGGCCGGGACAGTGCGGCTTCCTAGGACTCTGTGGAGATGGACTGCGATCCTGGGCCATGCACCGAGGCCCCTGTAATCGGGATGTGAGTGGAGGGCTCCGTGGGGTGCAGTGCATCTCCTGTCCCCCATCCCCAGGACCAAGCACAGGGAGACCCATTCACCCTGTCTGCCCAAGACTGTCATGGTTTTATTGTTAAAAGTCTGGCATCCTAGGAAATCATTCAACCCGCGGCAAACCAGGCAGTCACTCACTACCAAATCTGGGCCTGGGCCTGGGCCTGGCCATCACTAGCTGGGGATCCTGAGCCAGGCCCTGCCACTCTGTGGGCCTCAGTTTCCCCATCTGCCATGCATGGTTTTGCAGAGTGGTCAGTGTCCAAGTCCTCATCTCAAGGCCCTTGTCAGCTTGGATGACGGTGACCCCAGCACTCCCTGAGCCAGACATGCCAGAGCCTGGTGCCCACTGCCCAAGGGTAGTTGGAGAGAACTTGGCCCTGGTGAGACTGGCAGCATGTCCCCAGCACTGAGGGCCAAGGGCAGAGGCCGAGCAGTAGATTCCTGAGACTTCCATAACCGAGAACCCCAGTGAGGCAGCTTGGAACAGCAGAAACGCAGGCTCCCGGTTCTGGAGGCCGGAAGGCCAGCAGCAAAGTGTGAGCAGGCCACGCTCCCACCAAAGGCCCCATGAGACTCCTTCGCTCTTCTGATTGCTGATGGCCACAGCCGCGCAGCACCCCACACAGGCAGTAGGGGTTGGGCCTCGGTCAGGCCCACATGGGGTGCAGTTCGGATCAGTCTGTACTCCATTGCTGTGACAAACCATCTGGGGCAAGGGCTTCCCATAGCAAAGGCTCATGTGGCTCAGAGTTCTGGAGGCTGCGCAGTGCTCTCCTCTTGGCTCTGGTGAGGGTGACCCTGACTGTCAGCAGGCGAAGGGGGCCCGGTGGGAGCACTGCCAGAGGGGGCAGTCCTGTAGGGAGGCCACATGTCAGAGGGAACAGACAGCCTTGCATGTTTTTCTTCTGGTACCGGAGATCAAATTCAAGACCTGGCACTTGCCAGGCAGGTGCAGTGCCACTGAGCTACATCCCCGGCCCTGCATTTTTTTAATACAACGCAAGGATTCCCAGAGTCCCCTGAGGCCTCCACCAACCCCTCCTGAGGGGCCCCGCATGACCTCCCAGCTCGGGGGCTCCTCCCTCTCATTCTGTCCCCACACCGAGGACCAGGCTCCCAACACGGGGAGCCTGCAGGACACAGGGAGACTGTGCCAGCAGGAGCAGCGCTCACTCTCCAGCAGCAGGGCCCAGCCAGCAGGGAGCATGCATCGGACCCCACAATACACGCTATTGCCCCCCCTCACAGGCTGGCTTCAGAGGCCTCTTCCTTCCGGAAACAGCAAGGATGTTTTCTCCTGGCTTCACTGTATGTGCCTCAGGATTGGATCCTTAGCCCAAGAAAGACAAAGGATGACAAATCGTTAAGTATTTTTTGTTTAAAAAAGAAGAGGCCAGAGTGTGTCATGCGAGTGAACTCCCTTTCCTTCCCTGCACCTGGCATGGTGTGCCCAGCCTGGGCCTCTGATCACAGTGCACAGGAGCCAGGGCCTCACAGGCCTCAGGCAGGGAGGCAGCAGGGACCCCGGCTTCTCTGGGCAGCTGCCGGAGAAATGCTCCAGGCTCTTGTGAGTGCATCTTTCACCCAGCCCCATCAAGAGGGGAAGAGCTCAGCTGGTATCTGAGGGGGCCTGGGAGGAAACAGTCTGGTCCCAGAGTTCTAGGGCCTATGTCTCCTTTCTCTTTGGCTCGCTCATTGCCCTTTGAGACACAACAGCCTTTGTTATGATTTGTTATAGTTTAGCTCCCAGTGTCCTCCAAAGGGCCCCATGTTGAAGGCTTGGTCTCCAAATTAACACAGCACTGATATCCTACCTCGCTCCAGAGAGAATGGCTACCATCAAGAAATCAAATAATAAGAAATGCTGGTGAGGCTGCAGGGAAAAAGGAGCTCTTTCACATTGCTGCGGGATGTAAGCTACTACATCCACTATGGCATTCAGGGCTGTAAACTTCCCTCTTGGGACTGCATACATTGGGCCTCCTAAGTTCTGGTATGTTGTGCTGACTTTATTGTTTGATTCTAGGAACTGTCTAATTTCTCTGTGACCCTATTTAAGAGAAACTTGTTTAATTTCTATACATTTGTATAATTTCTGTGGTTTATTTTGCCATTGATTTCTAGTTTCATTGCTCTGTGATCTGATAATATATGTGATACAATTTTGATTCTGTTGCTTTACTTAAGCATGTCCTATGGGCTAGCGTGTGTTCTGTTTTGCAGAAAGTCCCATGTGCTGCTGAGAAGAACGTGTATTCTGCTGTTGGGTGGAACACTTAGTAGGTATCTGTTAAGTCCATTTGTTCGAAGATTTGGTTCAAATTTGACATTTCTTTGTTGATTTTTTTGTCTAGTGATCATAGGGTATCAAGGTCTCCCACCATAATTGTGTTGATGTTTGATCTTTTAGGTCCAGTGGTTTTTGTCTTATGAAGTTGGGCATACCATTGTTAGGTGCACATATGTTCGTAATTGTTGTCTCTTCCTGTTGAGTTGTTTCCTTAACCAGTATGTAGTGACCTTCTTTGCTCCTTCTGGTAAATTTTGGCTTGAAGTCCACTTTGCCTGAAATAATATAGCTTGTCCTGCTTACTTTCGGGTTCCAATGCATGAAATATTGTTCTCTGTCCTTTGATTTTTAGTCTATGAATTTTTTGATTAACTATATTTCTTACATACAATATATATTTGGATTGTGTTTCTTGATCCATTCTTCTAGTCTGCATCTTACAATTGGAGAATTGAAACCATTCACATTGAGAGTTATTACTGAAAGGTATTGACTTATTCTTGTCATTGGATTATTTTCCTGTTTCTGATTTCATTTTCTCCCCTTCTGCTTAACTCCTCACCCTATCTGGTGTATTCATTCTATTAGACCTTTCGTCATTGTTGGTTTCATTGACTCTTTCTCGGATATCTTTTGGAATTTTTTTGGAGTGCTGGTTTTGTGGTCATGAATTTCTTTAGGTGTTCATTATATGAAAGTATCTTATTTCTCCATAATTTTTTTTTGGTACCGGGGATCGAACTGGGGTCCTTGCGCTTGCACAGCAGGCGGCGACCTAACTCCTGGTTTTGACACTCTGTCCTCCCGTTGGTCATTTCTGCTGCCCATACTTTGCGTAGAGGTCTTAGTCTCCTGCGTTTCTGTTTGGCACCTTTTCACGGACTCAGAATCTTTGCTAAACTGGTCGTTTGTATTTTGTATCATTTTGTTTAGCTCATCTAGTTTATTAGTATCTTCTGTAAACTCACTGATCATTTTGTTTATTAAGTCCATTATCTGTTTAGTTATAGCTCCTTTAAGCTTACTAAGCATGTTATTGATCTTCTTTTTAATCTTCTCTTTTATAATTTCAAATAATGTAGGTGGGTGGCTCCCCCTGGGTCCCCCAGTGATCAGCTTTGGGAGAGTTGGGAGTTTTGGGAGGCATTTTGTTGCCTTGTTTTCTCATGTTTCTATTGTTGTGTTCTTGGTTTGTGAGAGTGTGTGCGGGTGTGCACTGAGGTTTGTGAGTGTTTTGTTGCTGTGGCTAACTGTACACCTTTGCCTCTCCCGACATCCGACCACCTCCATTGATTTGTGAGAGAGGAGCATGCAGTGTAATTGGCCCAACACCCAGTTCTCTGGGAATGGTCTGCAGAATTATTTTTCCCCTGCAGTATTATTAATTACAGAAAGGCAGTCAAGATATAGGCATGCAGAAAAAAAACCTATTAATACCAGCAATTATCCCACCCTGGCTAAAACATCTGAATCAGCAACAATAATAGTGTCAGACAAATTGGATATTTACATACCATAAGAACCAATAATACACCACCTTTAACCACAGAAAAGAGATCTGTAATTACAATATAAACACTAAGATGAGCCAGATTTTTTTTTTTTTTTGGTACCAGGGATCAAACTCAGGGCCTTGCGCTTGCAAGGCAGGTGCCAGAACAACTGATCTAAATCCCTGGCTTGACAAACCAGATATTGGCATACATTAAATATCTACTAAATGCAACAACCATACTGACACTAAAAATAGAAAAGAATTTAACAGTAATAGCATAGAGTTAACTACCTAAAGATTAATAAAGCTTAATGATTATACTACTAAAGATAGAAAAGATGGATAATGGGAGAATGAAAGAAGAAAATTTTGAAAAATTAAGCAATGAAAGATGAAAAGGAGAGAAAAATGTGACAAAAGATCCTATTAAGAAAAAAAAAAGGATTCTATTGAGTAAAAAAAAATAATAGCATTAGATAAAAATGACAGGAAAGAACAAATAAGAGAGAAAAATAAGAACTGAAAAATAAAAACATGAAAAAAAAAGGAAAAAAGGCAATGGAGAAAAAAGAGGGGAAAAATTCCTCTGTATTTTTGAAGAGTGGTTTCTTCCAGGATCCAGAGTATTGAAACCCAGCAAGCCATGGTTCCTCCACCTAGCTTTACTGCCTGTTTGTTTGTGAGGTGCCTCCTTGCTCCAGAGGACCCTCTGTCCACCCACTCCAGGCTGTGGCAACTGTCTGAGGGTATGTCCTTGTTCATGTTAGTAGATGGGGAAATCGATCAGACCCCTAATCTGTGCTGGATGTCAGCAGCAGGCAGGGCTTCAAGCAGACCACTGGACTTAGTGCCAGCACTTTCAGACCCAGCTGCCTCTGAAGGCACACATGCCAGGCCTGGTTTTGCATCATAAAGGGTGGGACCCTCTGTCCTTCCCAGCCTGAGCTTAAACTTCTCAGGAGGTCTACGGCTAGCTTACACCCTCTCCACAACTGTCCCGTGGCTGTCTCTGTGGGAGGGTGACACTGGGAACCCTGAAGCAAAGTTGTTTTGGAATCATTCTGTAGCTTAGTCTTAATCACTTTCAGAGTGAAACTCCAGTGTTTCTCCCTGGAACTACTCATGCTTGGTGCTTACTTTGTCTTAGCAGAAACAGGCTCCCCTCCCTGGGAGCCAGGATGACCTTCCAGTCTGCTTCATTCTCTTCTCTGCATTGTGCTCCATTTCTCCACCAGCTTCTCTGTAGTTTATAGTTTTCCTGTCATCTCCTTCCCTATTCCCAGAGATCTTTTTTTTTCTCTCTTCACCAAGTTGTTATTTTCCAGTTGTCTGGATTCTGGGTCCTGAAGATGCTGTATTTTGCTGCTGATCACTACTCTGTCATTTTCAAGCCCAGGGAACATGCTCTTGAAGGTGATAAAAAGATTTCTCTCTCTCTGTGCCTCTCCTCCCCCTCCTTACCAGCTGCCATGAGGATGCATCTTGCTCCACCACTCCTCGCCATGATGCTCTGCCTTACCACAGGCCCGAGAGCCGTGGACCAGCAGTCCATGGACTGAAACCATGAGCCAAAATAAATCATCATTTAAATTGTTTATCTTAGATTTTTTTTCACAGTGTCAGGAAACTCACTAACACAGGCTTGTAAGTCATGAAGCCCCAAGGCAAGCCAGGCTTGCCTAGGAAGTCTGCCGTCTACATCTTGGGGTAGAGTCTGAGGTCCCTGAGACAGGTGTGTGCTGGCCAGGCTGCCTCCCACCCTTGAGCCAGCCTTGTGGGAAGCAACCTAAGGGCTGACCTTCACTGTCTTCCCTGCAGATTGTCATTCCCTTCTTCAGCCTCCTCATCAAAGACATCTACTTCCTGAACGAGGGCTGTGCCAACCGCCTTCCCAATGGACACGTCAACTTTGAGGTGGGGACTGGGGCCCTTGAGGGGACTGCTGCCGATTTAGACAGGCCAGTTAAGGTTCCCAAAGCAGGCCTGTTGGCCCCTGGACAGACCAATGGGGCCCCTGAGGCAGAGTGCAGCTCTCAGGGAGGAGTTATCTCAGTGTCCCCAGCCTTACATCTGCCAGAGCGGAGGGCAGAGGCTCACATGTGTGTCAGATATACACTCCACGCTGGGCCTTGGGCAAACCGAAATGCCTTCTGGCCCTTGAGAAACACTAAGCTGGTGAGAAAGACAGCCATGTAGCTCCACAGTGCCAGCCGGCAAGGTGCAGCCATGCACAAGCCCTCAGTGCGTGGGTGTCAGGGCAGGCCCCTGAGGAGGGGCCTGAGCAGGGAGGGTGCTGTCGGCCAGAGGCTACAGGGGGCAGAAGAAAAGAAAGACTTCTGCTTCCTACAGCCACTGCTGTCAGTCACAGTGCCCTCCTCCGGGACCTCAGGACCTCTTAGGCAGGGGAACCCACCTGTAAGGGCTCCACACAGCAGCAGCCTGTCCATCACTCACCAGGTCCTCAGAGCAAGGCCAGGCGGATTCACTCTGCGTCCGACCTCAGTGTGGGCCCACCACACGCTGTGTGTTGGAGTGGTTGGCGGGCTGGGTGGACGCTGGGCGGTGGCAGTAGGTGGTCCCAGAGCTAGACAGTGGCTGCACACTGTGCAGCCAGGGTGCTCTGTGGTCTGCAGGAGGGGAAGGCCTCTTCTTTGGCTGGAGAGCCAGCCATAGCCCCAGGCTCACCTCTGCAGGGTGACCTCCACCTTCCGGGCTGTGAGTCCTAGGTCAGCCACTCCCCAGTCTGAGCCTCAGTTCCTCCCTCGGTTAACCACCACTCTGGCCATGCCGCAGGTTTAGGAGGACTAAGGGAATAGCATCGCCCACCATGGCCTGCGTGGCCCCTGCTCCATAGCACATGCCGGGACCCTTCGGGCTGTCGCATGCAGCCCTCAGGCAAGCTTGCCCCCAACAGCCACAGAGCAACTCAGGTCCAGCCAGCAGGTGTCCCAGGCCGCTGTGCCCCTGGGGTAAGACTGCAGGCTCAGGCTGGGATGGCCTCTTGCTCTGTAGGTGACCCTGATGCATAGCAGATGTGGGAGCCCCTGTCTTTTGCCCTTCTTGAACTGGTCCTCAGAAACCAGGCCAAGGATAAAGTAAGACTTCAAGGTCCTCGCCTGGCCTCTGACTCAGAGCAGCAGAGGGGCCAGCTCAGCTGCCAGGGTAGATCAAGGGTCCAGCAAGCAGGGCTCCCACCCAGGCCTGGCACAGTGCTGCTTGGCTTTTCAACTCCTTCCCAAACTTGGCATGCTGTTTACAATTATGCACATGCACAGCTTGCCTCCACGCCCAGGGCTTCCACGTCCATGGATTCAACCAAGCACGGGTCAAAAATGTGTATTTTTTAAACTGCCTCTGACCTGACCTCCCACTTTCTATTGTCTGTCTTCTGTTTTTCCAAATGGAAAGAGGGACAGGAGATGGAGGGAGCAGGAGGACAGCGGATGCAGGAAGGATTGAGGTGTGCTGTGTCCATGTGCCAGCTCCCTACGGTGAATGCAGTCATTATGTACTGCAAGCACGGACTAAGCCAGAAAAAGTGCATCTGACCACGCCAAGTGGCAAATGCCTCTCAGCCCAGCTACTTGGAGGCTGAGGCAGGAGGATCACAAGTTCAAGGCCAGCCTGGATAACTTCAAAATTAAAAAAATAAAAAGGGCTGAGGATGTAAATCAGTGGTAGAACACCCCTGGGTTTGATCCCCAGTACCACCCCCCAAAATTAAAAGTAATAAAAATAAAATGAAAAAAATTTAAATTGCATCTGTACTGAACATTTACAGGGTTTTTTCTTGTCACTATTCTCTAAACAATCCAAGATAGCAGTTACCTACACAGCGTGCACACTGCACTGGGTATGAGATGTTGGGTAGAGATGACTTGGTGTCCGGGAGGGGAGCTACCGGCTCCCTACAGACACCACATCATCTTATATAAGGGACCTGTGCATCCAGATTTCTATATGGGGGGTCCTGGAATCGATCGGAGGCTGACCTAAATGCATTTACCTCAGTCTGTAATGTATCGTTTTCCATAAACAGGTTAGCACAAAGACAAATTCAAATGAAATCGTGCTCCCCCGCTAGCAGCAGGCAGGCGGTGGCCAGGCTGCTTTCTCCATGCTGCCCCGGTGGAGCCTGGGTCGAGCCGAGCCGGGTTCCCCAGGGTGCAGGGCCACAGCAGGAGGCCCAGGAAGGCGGCCTCAGAGAGCCGCGGGCTTCCTGGGCCTCCTGCTCCTCGTGGCCCCGCCGGCCTGCGCTCCCTGAGCCCCCGTTCCTTGTCCTCACGCGGCAGAAATTCCTGGAGCTGGCCAAGCAAGTCGGGGAGTTCGTCACGTGGAAACAGGCGGACTGTCCCTTCGAGCAGAACCCCAGCATCACCCACTACCTGCACACGGCGCCCATCTTCAGCGAGGACGGTAAGTGGCGGTCAGCACGCAGGCTCGCCCTGCCAGCCTTCACCGCCCGGGGACAGGAGGCTGCGTGAGCCGCTGGCCAGTCCCCCGCAGCAACGCGGGTGGCCGAGGAGCCCAGGGCTGCAGCCTCTGAGCCCCTGAGTCTGGCAGCGAGGCCCCGCCTGTGCCTGTATGGCTGGGGTGGCCGGCCGGGGCCTGGCGCAGAGCTCGGCCCCCGTGGGAGGCTTCCCTCCCGTCTGCTGCCCATGTCGCCCCCCCCCCCCCCCCGTAGACAGGCGCCCCCACCTGGTGACTGATCAGACGCAGACTTGCTTGCAGACTTACTAAGTGGGCCGCCCGCGGACTCCCCTTTGGGTCGAGTGGCGATGGCTCTGCGAGGCAGGGGCCCGTGCTTGACTGTGTCCCCCGGGCAGGGGCCCCAGCTCTCAGCACAAAGCATGCCACGGAGGGAGCACTTTCTGCACCCCCAAAATGGGGGAAAGGATTTCTTCAGGACTGCCTTTGGATACTTAGGCATTTTGCTTTTCATGTTTGGAGCCAGGAACTTTCTGGGGAGGGCTTAACCCATATCTGTACCACTGCCCCAGAGAGCAGCCGACGATAAACCGCTCCGGCTGCCCGCCCGCAGCACCCCAGGGGCGGTGAGAGAACGCCCTTCCTGGCCAGGGCGACGACACCCGCCGGGCAGGTAAGGCTGGCAGCCTGCACTGGGGCCTGCGGATGATGCGAGCCCCGCTCTGCGTACACGCGGCTGCGGCGCCTCTTCGTCTCACCCGTGGTCGTGAGGTCTGCAATTTAAAACGTACAGAGTTTAGCACAGATATCTTTTTCCTTCCTCACAATTTCAGATAGAAGATTCATTCCTACCGTAGATCTTAGCAACATCAGCGTATGATTTTTTTCTTCCCTGACGGTATCATGGTAAGAACTCTCCCCTTGACACTTGAAGGCAGCACTTGCCGCTTTTCTTTGGCATAGCCACATCACCACCATCCCAATCCTGCGACTAAGGGTCATTATTACGTAAAATAAGGGTTCCTCGTGAAAGGAACACAAGCCCGTGACCGTGTGACAGTGGATCTGATAACCAGGAGGGCCGCTGAGTGACCCCAGGGCGGCAGTGTTGACGGCGTGGACGAACTGGACAAAGGGAGCGACATTCACATCCCAGGGGGATGGAGTGGGTGCCTCAGGACTCCATCACGCTACTGATAATGGCACACATCTAAAACTCATGAATTGCTTATTTCTGGAATTTTCCATTTAATATTTTCATACAGTGTTTGACCAGGGGTCACTGAAACTGTAAAAAGCAAAACCAAAGATAAAGAGGGACAACTGTACTCATTTCCTATTGGTGCTGACACAAATCACCACAAATTTGGTAGCTCAAAACAACACACATTTATCCTTCTGTAAAAGACTAAATGCTTTCCTACTGTGATGGATAGCAAGACAAGAATGTCTGTCTTCCCCTCTTGGTTTCCATAGTGATAAAGCACCTAGTTAGTACAATAAGGCAAGAAAAAGGAAACAACAGAGATCAGAAAAGAAAAAACTTAACACTGTCACTATTTGCAGGTAGTGAGATAAAAATATTCCGAGGAATCTACAAAACATTTGTAGAACTAAGACCTGAGTTTAGCAAGGTCATAGAATAAAAGATGAGCATACAGCAATTGATCGTATTTCTGTGTTCTAGCTATAAATACATGGATGCCAAAATGTTAAAAATATGATGCCATTTACCCAGGCCTAGTGGTTTATGCCTGTAATCCCAGCACTCTGGGAGGCTAAGGTAGAAGGATCTCAAGTTGAGGCCCACCCGGGGCAACTTTGTGATTCAGCAAGACCCTGTTTTAAAATAGAAGAAGAAGGAGAAGGAGGAGGAGGAGGAGAAGGAGAAGAAGAAGAAGAAGAGGGGGGAAGGGGAGGAGGAAGAAGAAGAGGAAGAGGAAGAAGAAGAACTGGAGACAGCTCAGCACAGAGGCCCTGGGTTCAAGGCCCGGTACTGCCGAAAAGAAAGGGTGCCTCTGTGTGTGTGATTGCCACTTCCAATCACTCAAAAAATGAAATCCTAAGTGCAAATCTAACAACACATGTACAAGATTTGTGTGTTAAAAAATTATACAATGCTGAGATCAAAGGTCTGAATAAATGGAGAGAGCTGACATCCATGAAATCAGAAGACCCAACATAGCAAAGATGTCAGCTCTCCTTCCCAAATTCCATAGAGATTTCAGTCAAAAGCCCAGGTAGCGAGCAGGGGATAGCTCAGTGATGCCATGCCTGCATCTCAAGCGCAAGGTCCTGAGTTTGATCCCTGGTACCTCAAAAAAAAGCCCAGGAAGATCTTTTGTAAGATACAGACAAGACTATCGCAAAGTTTATATGGAAAGGCAAAGGAACTAAAATAGTTAAAACAATGTTGAAAAAGACAAAATGAGAGAAGTCAATCTCCCTGTTCTAAAGCCGACATTCTGTAGATTCAGTAATCAAGATAGTGTGGTACATGGGTCGATGGAACAAAATAGAGAACCCAGAAACAGACCCACACAGATGTGCCCAGTGGCTTTTAACAAAAATGCAAAATCAATTAATTTGAGAAAAGAAAGCCATTCCACAAGTGATACTGGAATATTTTTGACATCCATAAACTGAAGAAAAAAAAAAAGAAAACTGAACTGCAATATAAGTTTGACACCTTACACAAAAAAAGTTACCTCGAAATGGTTCACGGACTTAAGTGTAAAATTCTGAAACTGTGGTGGCTGATGTGTGTGCTGGGGATCGGGAGAAAACCTTCAAGATACAGACTGCTCCAACTTACAACGCTTAGCCTTAGGGTTGGTCAACCTTAGAGATGTGAGAACATCATCCGCTGAAGCTGCACCACACAGTGTGGGTTTGGATCTTTTCTTGGGCTGGCGCTGTGAGTCTCCTGGAGCTGGGCGACAGTGCTGAGCTGCAGCTCCTGCACCCCCGATGCGGCGATCAGTGCACGCTTCAGCTGTGCTGCATCGGCCAGGAGGTTAGGTGTGTTGAATGCATCTAACTCAATGATTTTACCTCATGAAGGGTTTATCGAGATGTGATCCCATCATAAATCGACAAGCATAGGTATAGAGCTAGACAAAGATTTTTCTTTGAAAATAAAATATGTAACTATTATGTGATCTAGCGATTGCACTCTTGGGCTTTTATTCTAGACAAATGAACAGTCATGCTCACCAAACAGAAAGACCTCTTCATCGGTGTTTATAGCCACTTTACTCATCATAGCCAGAAACTAGGAACAACCCAGACGTCCTTCAGGGGGTGAATGGTTAAAAAACCTGTGATATATCCGTACCACAAGAAAGGAACCATCTACTGACACATTCTACAGCATGGATCAATCTCCAGGGTATTTTGCTAAGTGGAAAAAAAAAACCAACCCCAAAAGTGCCATACTATAGGCATCCATTTATAAATATTCTTAAATGATCAAAGAAGCCAGGTGTGGTGGCACTCACCTGTAATCCCAGCACTCTGGGAGCCTGAGGCAAGGGGGTCACAAGGTGGAATCCAGGCCGGGCAATTTAGCGACTTAGTGAGAGCCTTTCTCAATGTATAGGTGGACAGATAGAGAGAGGGCAGATGACAGATGATAGACAGATAGGACTGGCGCTGTAGTTCGGTACAAAGGCCCCAAGTTCAATTCCCTGCCACGACACACACAAAAGATAAACTGTAGAAATGGAGACTAGACGAGGAGTTAAGCTGGGAACCAGGCCGCGGCTGTAAAGCACAGCACAACACGAGGGCGCTTTGTTGGGTGCTGGGCCCCACTTTCACGACCCTGTGGCTGCCTGGCAGCTGTGCGGGGGCCGCTGTCCAGCGCTGTGAGGGGGATCTTACCCCGTATCACCGGCCCAGGAGAAGATCCAAATTCCAAGTCCAAAGTGCAGTTTCTACTGTGTGCGCAGCACTTTGATAGCACCCTAAAGTGGAAAAATCTTCAGTCGAGCCATTATAAGTGAAAACCAGTCTGACTAAACTAGTCTGTGTTTTGGTTACCGTCAGAGGAAGTGGGGTAAAGGTCCCCAGGCCCTCCTTGTGTCACTTCTCACATCTATCTGTGAATCTACAATCATTTAGTTTACAAACAAAAAGCAGGCCAGGCTCAGGTGTAGAACAGGTTACCACCATCAACATCAACCATACTGTATAATGTCACTTCCTTTTTTTTCTCTAGGTCTTTATTTGGCTTCTTATGAGAGTGAGAGTCCAGAGAACCAAACAGAGAAGGAGAGGTGGAAATCTCTAAGGTGAGCCTGTGTCAAGATGGGGTGGGAAGCAGGGTTGGAGGATGGATGGGGTTGCTTGGGGCCAGCATAGGGCAGGGAGGTTCCCGGATGTCGATCTCAGCTTCATGGCGGCTGGGCCAGTCCAGAGCAGGATCAGGCCAGGTCACTGGCCTTGGGGCAGAACTCAAAGGCAAGGGTAGGGAGGGGCAGAGCCCATGCGCCCTGGAGGCCGGAGGCTGCCCCTGTGGCCAGTCCAGACATGCGCCTCAGGACCAGGAACTCCCAGCTCATACTTTTATGCCAGAAAGTAAGACACACCCATCGTCTCTTGCCTGTTTGCCCTGTGAACACAGCCAAGTGGAGGTGCTCTGAGGGATGGGCCGGAAGGGTTTCTCAGACACCCATGTGCCCACCTCGTCCCGCGTGCTGAGGAGGTGGCCATGCTGGGGCGCAGTCTGCCAGAAGCCTGGGGCTCTCACCGCTGTCCTCGTGTTTGGATCTGCAGATCTTCTATTCTGGGGAAGACATGAGAAGCTCTGAGCTGAAGGAGGAGAAAATGGAGCTGGCAGAGGCTCCCATAGCCCCGCCTCAGAGGGCCCAGGGTGGAGGCGCAGGTAGCGTCTCACTACTTTGCAAACTGAGACTCCCATGGCCGATGCCCACCACAATGGCCCCAGGGGCACAGGAAGCCTTTGTGGGACCTCAGCCTCGGCAGACTTGGCAGACCCTCCAGACATGTGGGTGGCACAGCCCCTGGGGACACCCGGCCTTCAGGACCATGGGGGCCACACTGCCAGTCAGTTTGTCCATCGTAGGCCACTTCAGTCTTGTTCTCACAGAAGTGCCGCCCACCCTCCATCCCGAGTGGCTCAAGAGCCTCTGCTGCAGCAGGCATCCTGGGTGAGGAGCGTCAAGCCTGCAACAAACAGCTCAGCCGATGGCGGCCCCCACCTGTCCCCACAGGAGCTGGCTTCTCAGCCCTGGGCACTGCCCACCCTGGATCCCGCTGGTTTGAGCACAGCTTCCTGGTGATGGCTGTGAAGCAGGTCCGAAGGACCAGCCGGAGTCATGGAGTTGATGGCATGTACTTTACGGTCCTGCTGCCCAGTTCCCTGTAAACGTCAGTGTTGGTATCAACATGCCTTCACACGTCCTGGACGTCCATGTTCACACCGGTCTCTGACCTTCCGCCAGGTGCAGGGGGTTTCTGAACTGAGCTCCAGAAATGCCGTAGCCAGGGTTTAGGAGCAGGATGGGAGGTGCCATTTCCAGCATAGGCCCCAGGCCTGCAGCAGCACCAGGAGTGCAGTGGGTGCTTAGGGAACCTTCAGTGACTGGTGATCGGTGTGACAAACGCCTCCTGTTGGGAGTAGGGATGATAAAGCCTTTAATGCACAAGGCTGCCCTGTCTCTCACTTCCTACACCTCACACACTGATGGCCCACAGAGCAGTTGACAGTGCCGGGTCACCAGCCAGGAAGTTGTGCGGGATAACGTGCATCTCTCCTGGTCAGGGCCTGCTCGGTGGGAAGTTGCGGGAAGACAGGGCCCTGGGGTGCACTGCCCACCCTGGCTGCCTCCTGCCCATATCAGGCCCCCGAAGGGCATGTTCAGCTCAGAGCTAGACTCAGCTAAGTTCAAGGCCAGGCTGCACTACAGAGCGAGACCCTGTCTCAAAACAAGACAAAACAGTTTAACAATAACCACAGCCTTCCAACTGCCAAGGTCTACCTCTAGCCTGGCACGGTTTTTGAACTAGGACTTCTCACAGGAACATTTTCAGCATTCATATCCCATGTGCTACAAGAACAGCTTTATCTTTACAAGTATACCTGCGAAGCTAGCCATGGGGCACACACCTGTGATCCCAGCGCTCCGGGAGGCTGAAGCAGGAGGATCACAAGCTCCAGCCCAGCCTGACCCTGGCAATCTAGCAACTTAGCGAGACCCTGTCTCAATAAAAACAGAAATTAAATTAAAACCCACAAAAGTGCACACAGCCAAACAAAATGTGCGTCTCAGTTTTCCCAGAAGTGGAGACAGAATCATTCGGTGGCTGGAGAGCAGCAGGGAGGTTTCCGGCCTCTGCTGTGGACCAAGTCGGGTCGTCCTCACACCCAAAGTTACACACTGAGCTCCTACCTCACAACGGGAGGGTGTTTGGGAAGTAATTAGGGTGAGCTGAGGTTACAAGGATGCCTCAGTGAGAAGACCAATGGTAACCTTGTGTTCCCCACCCGAGGGCTCCCTCCCCATGAGAGCTCACCAGGACCCAAATCAGCCAGCACTTGGGGCTTGTACTTCTAGACTCCAGAACTGCGAGAAATCAATACCTGTTGTTTAAGCCACATAGTTCACAGACTTAGCAGACTATTCCAGGTGTATCAAGGAGAATTTGACCGAGGAACATTACCAACTCTGCCAGCCTCAGTGCCCCAATAATACCACAATATCCCAACCTTCAGTTCCTCCTAGCAAAATAGGACTACTTCTCATAGATTCCTCAGTGCCCCTTGATGAAGCATTGGAATATAGTTTTTTATCACTGCAAAGAGAACACATTTTGAAAAAACAATTATGGAAAGTAAAAATAGTCACCTTGCCAGGCGTGATGGCACAAGCCTGTAATCCCCTCACTCAGGAGGCTGAGGCAGGGCGAGCACCACAAGTTCACGGCCAGCCTGGGCTACACAGCAAGTTCACAGCCAGCCTGAACTACAAAGTGAGACCCTGCCTCAAAAAGAAGAGAAAAGTAAAATAGGAATAGTCACCTGTAATCCTCCCAAATGAACCTAAGTATTTCCATTTTGCTGATTCTCTTCCAGTACTTGTTCACAGATGTGGTCTTCCTCTGCATGTGGTAACGAGATTTATTTTGCATTCTGCTTCTGCACTCAGCAGAATGTCAGAAGCATTCTTCACACTGCTACAGCTTCCTTGATATATTAATAGCTGTATAATCATCCTCAAATTTGTTGCACCATAATTTGCCTAACAAATAAATGAGTTTATTTCCAACTTTTTGTCCCTGTAGTGAATGCCACAATCAACATCTTTATGCACACAGTTTGATTTGCATGTTGAATGTTGGTTTAAAAGCAGTCTAGGGCCGGGGATTTGGCTCAGTGGTTCCAGTGCCTGCCTTGCAAGCGCAAGGACCTGAGTTCAATCTCCAGTACCAAAATAAATACATACATACATACATACATACATACATAAATAAAAGCAGTCTGGATTCTGGTCTCAGCTTGAGGCTGGTATCTCATATTGTTCTGCCTCTCCTGAATCTTCAGGTTGCTGCTTACGGAAAAGCTGCTGCTCTTCTAATATCAGACTCTCAGTTGGCCACAAATGACCTGGATGATGTCTTTGTGGGTTTTTTTGCTATAACTGAACACCACAGACTGGAAAATTTATGAAGACTAAAGATTTTAGCTCATGTCTCTGCAAGCTGGGAAGTCAGGGCATGGTACTGGCATCTGCCCAGCATCTTGAGGGCCTTCTTGCTGATGGGGACTCTGTACAGAGTACTGAGGTAGCACAGGATGCCACATGACAAGACAGAGCAGGCGCACTAGATTGGGTCTCTATCCTTTTTATAAAGCTACTAATGCATGGGGGGGGGGCTCCTTTTTTGACTTTGTCTTATCTTAATCACCTCCCAAAGGCTCAACCTCCAAACACCATTAACAAATGACTTTGGAAATTAAGTTCCAACATGAGCTTGGGGAGGAAAAACACCCAGACCATAGTAGGTGACAGGTCTGAAGAGAGAGGCCCATACCCCACTTCTACTTCTGGAAGAAAGCAGCCACCATTCACTGGGCAGGAAGTGCGACTGGGCACCTTTGTGGGCTTTCCCTGCATCACACGGAGGCTGCCAGTTTGGCCTGTGCCATGTAGCACTGGCCCTGGTGGGGCTATTCTTCTGGCATTGGAAACTCTCTTGGCAGGGATGACCATCAAGGTGGCCCATGTTTCAGTAGCCAAGTGCGGGCACCTGACTCAAGGCAGACCCCCAATCAGATGTTCTTCCTGGAGGAAGACTGTGGACTTGGCTGGACAGGGACACCCTAATGCTGCTGCCAGACCCGAGTTGCCTGGGTGCTGTTCTTTCTGAGCCCTGTCCCGGCATCTTCCCTCAGCCAGACAAGCAGCTCTGCAGCCTCCCAAAGAACCTTGTTCTGTCTGTCCCTGCTGGACTATGCCTGTCTCCTCTTCGGTGCACAGAAGGCGTTCCCAAATACAGCACCAGCGCCGGGGGAGAGCGCCTCAAGGCCCGGCCGTGCAGCTCAGCCTGAGCACCAGCAGCCAGGCCTCGTCCGCTCCCTCCCACGGCTCCTGCTTCCTTGCTCACACGTGTGGCCCTTCTGCAAGTGGCCGTTTCTCTTTCCACTTCCACCACATTGTGACATGGCCAAGGCACCCTTGCTGGTACACTAGTACAACACTCTTAGACCTCCAGAACTGTGAGCTCTTTCTTCACAAAGTACCCAGCCTCAGCTATATTTTTTCCTTAAATTCTTTCATTGGTACATTTTAGGTAAACAATACGTTTACAGTTAGCATTGGGTGCTTGTACCTGTACATGATGGATCTTGGTTCTTATTTTTTCCCCATTCCTTGTGCTCCCTTCCCTATTTACATAGACTTCGTTTCCATTGTTTTTCTTCTCATAATTTTTCCTTTCCCTCCTTTCCTTTGCCCTTCCCCTCCCCCTCCCGCCACTCCTACCCCTTTGCATCAGCTATTTTTTTATAGCAACAAAATCGACTAAGACATCAGACAATAGTTCAAACTTTATTTTCTTGGCAGTATAAGGGATTGAACCCAAATCCACATCCCCACCTCTTTTTCATTTTGAGACAGGTCTTACGAAGTCATGAAGTTGCCCAGGCTGGGCTCAAACTTGGAATCCTCCTGCATCAGCCTCACAGAGTGGTAAGATTACAGGCATACACCGCCACATCCAATTAGCAAAACAGGGTGCTAACTGGCCTTAGCATCCATCTCTTCAGGATGGCCTGTTCCAGGTGGTGCTGTGGGAGGGCAGCACTTCAGTCCTCACCCAGGCCAGTCCTGGTCACAAGGAAATGGGGCACTGATAAAAGCCACGGCTTCTGGGCATCCAGCATCTTATCTGCATCTGGGGATAAGAGGGAGGGGCAGAGAGAGAGACAGAGAGGCCATCACCTCCACCTCACAGAGGGAACGTGACCCCAGAGGGACAAAAGGCGGCAGAAGACACAGCTGGCACGAACAATGTGCGCCAATAGCACTCTGGCAAACCACTCCGAAAAATAAGGAGGAAGACAGAGAGGAAGGGGGCAGAGAGCTCACAAGAATATTCTGACTCCTGATGATTGCCAATTTCTGTGGTATAGTTATTACCCTGACAGCAGAGCCAACTTCAAGGTGCCAGTGGTTTCACAATGGGCACACACACTGCGGAATATTTAACAGTCATCTCTAGCGCACCACTGATTTGGAGCCAGTTCTGGGGGTCTGTCCCTCAAGCCTCTACTCTTTTTTTCGGTTACTATTTCCTACCTTCTGGCCCTTGCATACCAATTTCAGAATCTCACCACTTCTGGGTTCCACATGACTGCTGCTCATTATATATTTTTCTTTAAGGCACTTGCTGTTAGAAGACAGGTCCCACAACTAGCACTGGAAGCAAACTCACTTTCTGCAAAGTCAAAGGTGATGTTAAAATGAGCATGTAATCATTAAAATAATGTTCTCTGCACTTCCTGAAGTCCTCTCTTTGTGCAGGGTCTGGTGACCCAGAGACTGCTCTGTGGTCCTGTGGCCTGTTTCTCTGCTTGCCTCTTGTGAGGCTGCTATGTGAGACAGGTACGGCTTCTCACAGCCCTTCACCAGGAGGAGACAGCAACGTGAGACACATCCCCAGGGCACCTTCCCCACGAGCTTGGACTGGGTTTCCGCAGAGATTCTGCCTGTGCCACAGCTTGGGGCTGCAGTGTGGTCCACAAGAACGATGGAACAGCTAATGTGGACCGAGAGCCATGGAGGACAGAGATCTGCAGGGAGGGCCAGGAGGCGGCTGAGGTGGAGGTGGAGGTGGAGGAAGAGCAGCGGGAGTCTCCCAGAGCTGCCACACTGCTCCCCCGATGAGCCACTGTGCTCAGAGCACATGCTCGCAGGATGCATGGACGCGGACACCAAAAGATGCTGTCGTGGCCATTCTCTGTCGCTATAACACATTGCCTGAAACAGGGTAACTGATAAAGAATAGAAGTTTATCTGGCTCATGGTTCTGGAGGCTGGGAGTCCAAGCGCGTGGTGCCAGCATCTGGGAAGGGCCTTTTTGCTGCACTGTAACATGAAGGAAGGTGTCACATGGCAAGAGAGCTTGCTCTCATTACAAAGCTACTCTCAATCATCATCATTAGCCCCTCAGCCCATGACCCAGAGCCCCCCTGACCCAGTTACCTCCCAAGGAGGTGCCTCCAAATACCATTATCATATGACTCTGAGGATGAAGTTACCAACACATGAATTCTGGGGTTCAAACCATAGAAAACATACAGATTTCACAACAGCTCCATTCATCATAGCCCTAAAAGAAAATCAGTATAAACACCAATCAACAAAACAATGAATAAATCAATTGTGGAGGACTATACAGCAAAGCAAAAGAAAACTATCTGTAGAAAAAAGAAAAGGAAAGAAGAAAGAACTTCACAGATATAACACTAAGAAAAATAATGAAATGCCAAAGCATATATTGTGTGATTCTTTTTCTACAAAGCAAATTAATCCGTGGCCATGGAAATCAGACTGAGATACACAGGGAAGCTTCCACGGGTGCTGGTAATGTTCCCCATTTTAATCTAGGTGGCGGTTACAAAAGTGTTTTCACCATGGAAGAATTGGGTGAGTATTACATGTAAGATGTTTGTGTCATTATAGTTATGATTCAAAATGAAAATTAATAAATGTAAGGAAAAGTTTTTTCAAGAAACATAGTATTGAGTGAAGATAATGAAAGACAGAACAACAGGTATAACTAAACAGTGTTTAGTAGTTAAAAGGTATGTGCACATTATACAACAATATACGTCTTACAAGAACACAAACCAAAAAAGACACGCTAAATGCATTAGAATGGTTGCTTATCTTTCAGGGAATGGGAGAAAGGAATGGTGATAAGAAAGAATAAGTCAATAATAAAATAAGAGCAAGGCCCTGCTCAGACCAGCGGGGTTCAAATGCTAAGTAAGGAAGAAAAGGAAGAGGAGAAAGAAGAGGAGGCTCAGTCAGAACTCAGCACATGTCCTCCAGGAGGTGGGCCATACCCACCCCTGTGCTTTTATTTACCTCATACTTTTAATTAGCTCACTCTTTTATTTTTTATTATTAATTTTTGTACCGGGGATTGAACTTGGGTCCTTGCACGTCTTTTAAAAAACTGAAGTGTTTTAGAAGTGACTCCATCCGAAGTTTTACAAATGGCCAGGGAACACATGGAAAGATGGTCAACAAATAATTTCTAGGTAATGAGAATCAAAACCACAAGGAGATGCCACTTCGCGTTCGTCAGGATGGCTGTAGTAAAACAGAGGACAATAAATAGGTGTTCGTGTCGGCAGGATGGAGAGAAAGCGAAACGCCTGCACAGTTGGTGGCTTGCAAAATGATGCCACTGCTGTAGAAAGCAGTATAGCCGCACAGAACTGCTGTTTTATTTGGCAACCCCTCTGTGAGTACACGCACAAAAGGATGGAAAGCAGGGTCTTGAAGAGATATTTGTGTATCTCATGCTCCTGGCAGCATCAATAGCAACAGCCAAAAGGAAAAAGCAACCCAAGCGCCCATCAATAGATGAGTGGAAGCAAAATAATATAAATTATTCAGCCTTTAACAAGAAAGAAATCCTGACACATGCCTCACATGGATGAACCTGGAGGATATTGTGCTAAGTGAAATAACCATTCACAAAAGGGCAAATAACTGCATGATTACACTAACATGAGCTACCTAGTGTAGCTGAATTCATAGAAACAGAAAGTAGAAGGGTGATTGTGAGAGGTTGAGAGTAAGGAGCATGTGGAGTTGTTTAATGGGTACAAAGTTCCAATCTTGCAAGACGAAGACTTTTGTAGATGAGTAATTGTGATGGTTACTCAACAGTGAGAACATACTTCATGCCACTGAACTATGTACTTAAAAATGACTAAGATGCTAAATTGCATGTATATTTTGCCACATTTGTTAAATTAGGTGGGTTTATATCACTATTATAAATGAAAATCCTCTTGCCCTAGAGGAAAAGTTGCCATGAAACTAAAGACAGTCACGCTCCTTCAAACAGGGTGATGCTAATATTGCCCTAGATGCTGCAGCCTACTAAGGCTGCGTCTCACTTTACTGAAAGTGAAGATCAGCAAATGCCAAGGAAGTGTTAAAGGTGCCCTGGAACCAACTTTCTCCTTGACAAATTCAGAAGGGCTGAAAGAGAGCTTTAAAGGTAGCTAGCTGTCTTCTCCCCACTGGGCTTAACAGGGTGGTGCGTGGGGGCCTCTGTAACTGTTTCTGATGCTAAGGGCATGGTTACCCACACTTCGGAAGACTTGTAAGGAGAAGGGTGTAGGGGCCATCAGTGTCTTGGGCAAGGACAGGCTAGGGCATGCCAAGTGAGAGGGGCAGGGGAGGGAGGCGCCTGCTGGAGGTTCTTCTCCGGCAGTAAGTCTTAGAAAGTGGTCCAGGGCCGTTTAGGCAGGGAATTCCAGGGTCTCCGGTGCCTCAGCATGGGTACCTTGATCTTAAGGACTCCTTGTGAGTATGGGCCCAGCTGGAGGAGGAACGGGCAGAGACTTCTTCAAGTGCTGGCCCAGGGAGGGTCCATGTTGCTTTGGTGCAGGAGTTGTACTTCCTTGAAGTAAAAGCCAGTCCCAACAGGCCAGGGCATGGTCTAGAAGGCAGACGATGATCGAGTGGGTAAAAGGTAGGGAACTGAAGGAGGAAATGTGAAGAGCGTGGCTAAAGAGGTACCACTGGATGCCTGGTGTTTCAGCAGGCCCTGCATCCACACCCTTTATGTGGAAAACAGTGCCTCGGTTTTCTTTTGGGAAGCTAGCTCTCTGCAGGATTCTTGGTGCCTTTGGTCTAGAAAGGCTGACTGACCCATTCCTAGTACAGAAGGCAGAAGACTCAGCCCTTCCTTGTCAGAAGATGCCACCTTCCCTCCCCACAGTGATGCCATAAATTCCTGACTTAGCTACATCTGAAGTTAGACTTATCCATCCCAAGTTTATGCCTCTGAGGGATACACCGTTTTAACTGACATAATGTTTGGGAGGTGGGTCTCACTACAATAAGCCCTTCATATCCATGGGCTCCCCATGTGCAGATTCAGCCAACCACGTCTAAAATGTTCGCGGGGCGGGGGGGGAGGGGGGGCTGTGCCTGTACTGAACATGTACAGGCCTTCTCGCCGTCATGATTCCCAGAGTGTAATAACTACGTACAAAGGGTCTCCATTGAATCTAGAGATGATTTACAGAATCCATGAGAACGTGCCTAGGTTACATCCCAAGGCTGCACCACTTTATATAAAATCCTGGCGCACCCGTGCATTTTGGTTTGGGAGGAGGATAGGTCTCCTTCCCCTCCCAAATGCTTAAGGGCAACTTTAGAATCTTCTTGTCCAGGGACCCTGTAAGTTTCCACCTCTGTGCAGACGCAGCAGACCACTCAGGAGCCCCTGCAGTTCCAGGCCCGCCAGGCCCCACATTCGCTAGCAGGGCACCCCAGCCCGGAAGTCACTCATGAGTTCTAGCTGACCAGCAGGAACCTAACATCTCACAGACATTTACTTTAAAGCCTGACTTTGAGGTTAGCTTCTTTCGTATTCCGGCATCACACGTTGCCGCGGGTCCTCGGGAAGCCTCTGGTCTCCTGGTGCCGGTAGCTGTCACGCCTGGGTCAGAGACCGAGGCAGCGGCCACACACAGGCTACCTGACCTGCCCCGCCCTCGTGCGGGCCGGCGGGAGCGCACAGATCCTCGCACGCATGCGCGGGGCGGGGGCCACGCCTCGGGCCTGCGCGTTGTCGCTCCCCTGACGGAGGGAAGGGGCGGGGCGGCGGGCACGCGCTGAAGGTGGCAGCCGGGCCCTCCAGGTTTCCTGCGCCTCTGATCGGCCTTGGGCTCGCGCGGAGCCACCCCTCACTGCCCCTCTGTGTCCTCCCGCGGCCCACCCGGTCAGCCGTGCGGAGCTGAGAGAATGGAGGGTGTCCGCCCCCTCGGCTCTCGGGGGGCCCTGAGGAAACGACCGCGAACAGCCTGAGCCGTCGTCCTTGCCGAGCGGCGCATGAGCGCGCAGCCGCGAGCGGGCCGCGCACGTGAGGGCAGTGAGCGGCGCGCAGGGCCGTGCTCGTGCGCGCGCGCTCCCGCCGCAGCCCCGCCCGCGCCCGCCCTGTCTCTCCGCGCCGGCCCGGGAGCCCAGTCCGCGAGCGGCGGCGGCCGGAGGGACGATGGGCGGCGCGGCGCGGGCAGGCCCGGCCCGGCTCGCCGCGCTCGTCCTGCTGGCCTGCAGCCTGTGGCCGGCGCGGGCGGACAACGCGAGCCAGGAGTACTACACGGCGCTCATCAACGTGACGGTGCGGGAGCCCGGCCGCGGCGCCCCGCTCACGTTCCGCATCGACCGCGGGCGCTACGGGCTCGACTCGCCCAAGGCCGAGGTCCGCGGCCAGGTGCTGGCGCCGCTGCCCATCCACGGAGGTGAGGCGGGCCGGGCGCGTGCGGAGGCGGCGGGCCTGGGGTCCCGGTCCCCGGCCGGTCCCGGGCGGGGCTCGGCTGCGGCGCCGGGCGAAGGTCCGCGGGGGCCCGGCCTCCCCCGCTGGAAGGAGGCTCCCGAAGCGTCCTGGGTTTTTTCCGTTCCTTAGAAGAAAAAAGACTTCGAATGTTCCCTCTTTCCGTTTGGGTAGCTTGTTTACCGGAGGGCATTGAACTGCGAGTTTGCAGGGACAGCTGAGACAAAGGAGGTGGTGCAAGAGCGCAGAACTAACGCGTGGGGGATGCGATCCTAACCCGTAGTTTGGAACCGGCAGGTTTGTTCCTGAAATCCCGGGGGCAACGCCGCGTGGATCTCGAAGGATGGGAGGCCCTTTCTCTAACGTAGAAATGGGCCCTTTTTCCTGAAGTGGCGAATGGGAGGGGGATGGACGAGGAAAATGGGAATCGTCCCTGTTGCTTTTGGCTCTTGTTCTGCCCCAGCAGTTTTACTGTAATTTGAGCCAGAACATTTCCCATTATGAAGAGTCTGAGACCAGTTGGGACTAGTAGCCAAGTCTTCAGATCGTGGGTGCTGACCAACAGGGAAGTAGGTGAAATCGTCAAGAATTGTCTTTGAGGCCGTTTGATTTGTCTCCGTGGTTTTCTGTAAACACGGGCTCTGTTTAGTTAATGATTTGGTCTGGCACTTAACATTTTCTTAAATTACTGGTCGTGTTTCAAAGGAGAAGATACCAGTCATGGTGTATGATGGTGGGGCATGGGGTTGGCACGTTGTGAACTTTTGGAAAAACGCCTGCTCTCTTCTCCACTCCCACTCTCACTTTGAGAATGCTGAGGGGTTTTTTTTCTTTTTTAAAGAAACTGTTATTATTATTTATTTATTTATTCATTTATTTATTTTTTAGTACCGGGAATCGAACTCTTGGGACCTTGCGCTTGCGAGACAGGTGGCGGCACCACTGAGCTAAATCTCTGGCCCAAGAAACTATTATTTATGTTAAGATGCCCAAAGCTAGGCAACCTGAATAAAGTAATGCCCTTTGTGGTCGTCATGCAAAATATTAAAACTTCATGCATCTCTGAGGTGTGTATTTGTATGGCAGCATGTTAAGTTGCTTTCTTCTTTGAGTCAGTTTGGCTGAGGAAAAAGAAAACATGTAGGGTTTTACTATAGCCTGTGCCCAACTTAGTCTGAACTCTTCAAAGTTCATCTTACACGTCACGCGCACGTCTCATCTTTCTTAAAAGCAGCAGGTAGGGTCCCTGCTAGGCTTAGAAATAACTTTTGTCTCTCGTTCATTCAGTAAATATTTGCGTGCCTGCTCTGTGCCAGTCACTGTGGTTGGGACACATAATGTTGCCAAACTATGGCACTAACAATGCTAGTCTATTTTCTGGCGAGGAGAACCTAAAGGTCACGTGGAAGGGGAGGAAGAGGAAGAGAGGCAAGCAGTTCTGGAGCAAGAGCTGTCCCTGTATGAGTTTTGAAATCTGTGGTTTGTCTTTGGGGCTTGGTTCCCTCGGGCACATCAGATCTCTGGCCCTAACTTTACATTCTTGCCTCCAAAGTGTTCCAAGTACTTAAAATCTGTATTGCTTGTATGTCAACCCCACCCCCCAGCCCCATCTTTAAGGAAGTTTTGTCTTAGTTCCAAACAGGATGGGGTAGTCCTGTTGCCCTCTCACGAAGTAGCATCGTAAGATTAAAAACTCTGAGTCAGACTTGTGACGTGTGGATATTGTGTCACACGGGCTATGTAATGTTGCCACTTAGCTTCAGTCTCTTCATCTGGAAAATAGAATGATGATGTATTTACCGCTTAAGGTGTGAGAGGTTTAAATGGTGTTTGTTTGTTTGTTGAGGGTGCTGGGGCTTGAAATCGGGGCCTTCATACTGACCTGTATCTATGCAGCCCTCTTTATTCTTTATTTTTAGACTGGGTTTTGCTAAGTTATCCCAGGTAGAACTTGAATTTACAATCCTCCTGCTTCAGCCTCCCAAAGTGCTGGGATTATAGAGGCACCAGGCTTGGTTCTTGAATTCTTAAATGAGTAGACATGTTAACCTAAAACAATCTCTAAATTGGTGAGGTTTTAGACACTACAACACAATGAACACATTTGTGAAGCCATACATGAAGACTGTGTGTAGTCAGTTTTTCTGAGTTCTGTCTTGTCTTCCTTTCCTTGATTCCCTGGGGTGTTGTTTTCCATCTGTACCACAGGAGAATTGCGCGACTTTCCTCATTTGATGGTAGGATCCTGCAGGTGGTTTGAGTCTGGCTTCGTACCAAGGGGCCTACAGTGTATGTTCTTTCAGCCCAGCAAATACTGAGTAAAATCCCACTGCGTGCCAAGCACCATTCAAGACTCTGGCAAGGAGAGAGTGGCAGCAGCAGTGAATAAAACTGATTTCTTAAAAAAATCCTGTCTTTCTGAAGCTGTCATTCTAGTGGGGACTATTTAAAAATTAGTCTACCTATAAATTGTTTCTAACCATTGTTTACATGAAATCCAAGAAGTTCCTCTGCTTGTGCAGTAGAAACCTGTTAAAATATTTTGAAAATAAGAATATGGTAGAAATCTGCTAAAATTACTCATGTTTAAGAAAATGGTTTAAAATGCTAATAATATATGGGGGTACTTTACGGTCTTGATTTAGTGAATTTTAATTTTGTATATTTTCAGAAAAAAATTGTATTAATGACCTTGACACTGATCGTTCTCAATTGAAGAGAATTTTTGACGTATTTATTGAGACCTTCATGTATATTGGCATAACAAAGTGATATTCAAATTATATATATATATATATATATATATATATATATATATATACACACAAGCTCAAAAGTTAGGAGACACAATTCCTGGCTCAAAACCACCTATGGCCCATAGATCTGAAATTCATGGAAATTCATTTTGAGAGTGAGGGACAGAAATGAACATAAAGACATAAAACTACGAGAGCTGACCCTGTTTTCCTAGAACTTAACATAATGGCTTGTTTTACATCAATGGCTTGATTTGTGAAATAGAAACCTTTCTTGTTTTTCAGTGCAACTCGCAGACATGTATGCATTACAAAGTTAGGCATGTGAGAATTAATAAGATTATTTGTCCTCTAACTTTTTTCTTTTTGCTTTGGTGGTGGTAGTGGGGATTTAACCCAGGGCCTTGCACGTTAACCATTAGGCAAGTGCTCTGTCACTGAACTATATCCCCACCTTGTCCTTCACCTTTAAAAGACAAATAAACCATTTTTTTCTTAGATGCTTTGGTATTTTGAAAGTACGTTTTGGAAAGAGTTATACTTCTGCCTTGTAAAATACTTGGTAAACAAGTGTTCTACTTTGAAAAAATGGAGTTTTAAGGACCGAGTCGTACGGTTATGCATAGATGATAGTTCCTTTCTTATTACAATACTTACTGAAATAGTAAGCTTAGAAATAGGAACAAAATGTTTGATACCTTTGCAGAGCTGAACAGCCAGTGTGTACTGGGGAGGAGACATTGTAAATGTGCTTTATGTGTGTGCACACTGACTTTGTGTTTGAGCCTGGGCTGGGGGTTGGGAGAGGAGAAAGCCCTGTGTTGGTGATGTAATTATGTATGCAGATGTGCTGGTGGGAGAAATTCAGTATCAGCCACCTTTTGCCTTGCTTAGAAATTTTCAGAATTGGATATTACAGCCTAAGAGAACAGTTTTACAAAATGATAAACCCTTTTCAATGTCTTCCTGACTATAAGCATGCAATAAAATTTTAAAAACAATTCTTAGATTTTTATGTTTTTTAAAAAGTGATCCTATTGGATGAACCCTTTAATGGATCCTTTAATGAACCTGAAATTGATTTTAGAAATTCTCATAAATAGTGAGAGACATTGATGTGAAAACAGGAGTTTGGGTGAAAGGGATCCTGTAATACTGTTAGAATTCAGAATGGCAAAGGCAGGAGCTAGTGAACTGAGACACATTTCAAAATATTTAGAGAAAAAGTACATATAATTTTGGGAACAGAGACTGAATATTCAGAATTCTGAAAGCTGGAGGCTCTAAAAACCACGAGTTGACATAATTAAATAACCAGGCAAGAAAAATTAAATTATATTGAACTTGACAGCTTTGTGGGGTGCTAGGGGTTTGTTTGTTGAGACAGGATCTTGTTATGTAGCTCCAACTCAAGATTATCCTCCTTCAGCCTCCTGAGTACAGGAATGCACCATCATGCCTAACTCAGAAAATGTTTTTACATACATTTTTCCTTCACTTTTGGATGATTTCCACTAGCATACAAATATTAGAATATTTTTAAAGAATCACTCAACCTCCCCACCAAGTCCCTAACCTCCACCTCCCTATTTTTCTGTTTCTGTTACTGCAAGTCCTGTCATAGATATTGTGTATATGGCCAGGGATTTAGCTCAGTGGTTCCGCTGCCTGCCTCGAAAGCGCAAGGTCCCGAGTTCGATCCCCGGTACCAAAAAAAGAGAAAGAGCTATTGTTTATACTATGAAGATCTTTGATTGCTGTGTGAATGATTTTGATAAAAACATGGTGTATTTAACTGATACATTCAGTGACAGAGTCAGGATTTCTAAGATCTCAGTGGGTTGAAGTTAAGAGAAAAGTTCACAGAAATGAGTGTGTAATCTTCATTGAGGCTTGTTGAGAGGAAAGCAGGCTTAGCTTCACTTTGCACGTCAAAGCCTGTGAACTGTCCCTGACCTTGTCCAGGTTAATCTTGTGCTATGTCTGGATCTAGGGCAATGGTGGAGAGCCCATAGCACATGTGCTGCAGCAGGCACACAGGAGCCTAGTGGCCTGAGCATCTGATAACAACGCACATAGGGGCCATGCGCATGCTCGGAATGGAGTAGAGCACTACATGTGTTGCTCCCAGACTAACAAACTGTGAGCCAAGGTTTGACAAATTATCGGCACACACACAACAGCGAAGATCACATTACTTGTGCAAAAGCAC